GTCCTCCTGTCTGTCAGGACCTGTGCAGGCTTTCCCTCCTCCGAGGGGAGCGGGGTTATCACACCTCCTTGTTCGACGTCTCTTCATTGTAGCTCCACAGTTACTCCACGGCCCCCAACAGCTCCAGTAACCATCCACTCCCTCTGTGGAGATTACACAAACAACCTCAAAACCAATATGAACTATTCAAACCTGTGTAATATGAGGATGTACTCTAGTGTGGCTTTACATCTTCTTACTGTATACTATAGTATGAAGTACTGCTAGCAGCCTCTACAGGCTACAAGCTGCAGACAAAATGTGTTTGACGGACAAAAATTATTCTGATTTCAAGTGTTTGTAACCAGTGACTGGAGTATAAAATGGAAGAAAATGCCTTTAGGGTCAATAAAATCAAGGAGTTCTCCCTGTATAAAGAATGAAAGAGATAAATACACTTGAAAAAAAAATCAAGTCTGAAGGAGTCATGTCATGTGGATATTTTGCAAATGTGAAAAATCTTAAAATGAAATGTCTAGATTAGAGTGCATTAAAGTTTTCAGCCATCATTTATGATCCCCTGAGGATGTACAGTGATGACTTTGATCATCTCTAGAGGTGCAGTCAAGTAAAAAGAAAAACTGTAAGATTGATTCCATTTTAAGTTTTCAGGCAGTCATTTCCCTCGTCATGCCAAGAAGAGTCAAACATTCACAGTTTTCTTTAAGTTAGCAAGTAGTTTTGTTAACTCTGAAAGTGTTTTTTATATGCTACTACTCTTTTGACTTTTAGAAAGTCTCCATAGCATCAATAGCTGAGGCTTTGGTAATACAGTGGAAACCCTAGAGATGGAAAAATAATTTAGAAAAAGTGAAGTGAGATCAATTTAAGCTCACTGCAAAATGTTTTAACATTGTTGAATACCAGAGGACTCTGGAGAAGCCTAAGGAGACCACTTAACCACGCTTTAACTTTGATTCCTTCCATCACACATCAATAGTTTCCTCATGTCTTTACACGAACATTAAGCACACTGCAGTCCGCATAGGGCTGGAAAATACATCAAGTCACATCAGGTTTTGATGTGTGGTGAATGTTCCAAAGTGTTTGTTGTATTTTGGCCACAAGAGTACATCACCACCATCTCAAAAACGTAGTTATTTAGTTCTATTTATATATTTATTATTATAAATGTGATGTATTGCTTGTTTTTCAAAGTTAAAAAATCAAGGACTAATCGTGTTATAAATCATGATCTCAATATCAATCAAAAATAATCGTGATCATGATTTATGACTCATTAAAGTCCTGCTGTACCTGAGCTGTAGTCGGGAGCTCTTCTCTCACAGTTTGTGCCAAAAGTGCCCGTTTGGCAAACACACTTGCACTCTGTGCCGAAGAGAACCGGCCTGCCGTTGTTCGGACAGGGGGCGCACTTGCAGGTATCGAACTCCTCCAGGTACTGCAGCAGGGCCTTCCTCAAGTGTCTCCTCTTTGTGACAGCACACGGGATCCCCCGAACCAGATCTATGATGGGAAGCAGCTGGACAGACACACAAACTCTCAAACACCTGATCAGCTGTCATGATCATAATGTTTTTTCCTTCTTTCCTTTTGAATGTATTTGTTGTTTGATCACACCTTGTATTCGACCACAGCAGGGTTGTCAAGCACAGATTTGGCCCAGTTTTTGTATGAGGTTTTGTCAGGAGTAGGTCCCTCTCTTTCCCAGGCCAGAGCGGCCGCCTCTCTGGTTCGACCTCCTTTGACCATGGAGAAAGACTTTTCTGCTGACTGAACGTACGAGCCTGGAACAAAGAAATGTGTGACCAATGAATAAAAACTGTGAAAGGGCAAGTGACAGAATGATAATAAAATCTTCACAGAAGAAACAGAACCAGAGGAAACCTTGATATTTCTGTGTCATCCTGTTGTCGGTGCATCGGGTTACACTGGAGTATTGTGTGTAGAGGATGACGGTCCAGGCGACCTCTTTACCCAGGCAGCTTTTGATGTTCTCTTCAGTTTCACCTGACACAGTGGAAGAGTGGAGCACAAAACGATGAAAGAAAGGAACTGACAGCAAACATCTGTGACTCAATGAAAATGCACTCGTTTTTTAAGTTTCATGAATTCAACAATTTCTAATCCAAACATTTAAAAAAGTACATTAGTACAACAAAGGTTTCTATTATTGTTCAGGTTTCTTTTGACCTTTTTACGTCTTTATTTGAGAGACAGGACAGTGGGTGGCCCAGAGTCACAAATCGGTAAGAGAGATAGAGAGAGGGGAATCACATGTGGGAAGAAGCCACACAGGTCAGAATTGAACCCAGGTTGCCCGCGTGGCTTTAGCATCTGTTGGGTTATTCAGAATTTTGACCAGCAGCTGTTGGTGTACCTGAACTCTTGAGCTCCTCACGGCTGTACTGGTACAACAGGTCATAGTCGCCTCCCAGTACCCCTGAGCTGTAGTAGTGCGTCCCAAAGCGCTGGAAGATCTCTCTGTAGAGGGCGTAGTTGTACATAAGAGGAAGGGCGTGGAGGAACTGGAGGAAAGGCTGCGACAGGACGAGGTCCCCCGGGTCCCTCACCTTGAAGGTGGACACGGGCAGAACCTGGTGCACCCTCAAGAACTTTGAGTCCTAGAGGGGAAGAGACAAGATATGACTTAATGGATAGATGGAACAAACAAACAAAGGAAGGAAGGAAAGGGAAAAGAAGAAAAATAGGAAAGCATTGCTGATCATGCAATGTGTGCGCAGGTGCAGAATTATTGTGCATGCAGGAAATTGTGAGTGAAGGTATATTACTGACATGGCGTTTATGTTTCTGGCCCACAGAGTGAGGAGCTTTGGGTAAAATCCGGACATTTAATCTCGCCCTCACTTCTTCATCTTGTGGTCAGGAGGTTACCAATAGCATTTTGCAAATGAAGCTCCTCACAAGCATGTCACTACAAGCTCCCTCACCTTTTTCTTTGAAGCTTCAAAAGCCTGTTTCTTGGAGCTTTCACTTGACGAAGAACTCCCGCTGATGTAAAAGATGGGGAAGAAAAACAAGCCTTGACCTCGTTGGCTGCTTTCAGATGAAGATGACGTCTTCATGTCGATGGGCTCGGTGACCAGAGGCTGGGGCTCTGTGCTGAAGTCCTCCACCACTGCAGCCTGTACAAAAAAACAACAACCCCTTTTGTTAATCGAGGACTACAACACGTACTAAGAAAGTCTGATAGATAAGACTGCCCTGGTTCAGCAGGTTGGTAGGAATTGAAACTCTTTTATGTGATCAAGTGACTGAGATTGTATGCACAGGGCTAACATGAGTCCAATATAATGTCATTTTCTATCACTAGTTTTCTGTGCCTTGCCCACAAAGATTTAAAATTTGCCATCAAAGCTCTGATTGGTCGGTTGCATCTCCAGCTTTATCAAATATCTGACATTTTAGAGGTTATTCAGAGATCTGGAACCAGGCTAGATTTACTGATAGGCGTAAAATGAATGGCCACATACAATATCAATACCTTGATGTTCAGGCTCTCAAAGTTGTGTGGGACTCGGTGGTAGAGCAGCGTGCTCGCAGGCCTCCTGATGATGCAAGATCCTCCCATAAACATGTTGTCCAGCACCGCTCCCCTTGGCTCCTCTGCCAGGGCGTCAAACCTTCAACACAAATCACGGAAAATTAAAAATAGTCAAACATTTTTGTGCAATCTTTTGAAATAACGATGGTGGTTTGCCTTTATTGTAGAGTTAGGACAGTGGATAGGGTTGGAAATCAGGGAAAGAGAGAGAGAGAGTGCATGAAAGAAGCCACAGGTTGGATTCGAACCTGGTCTGACCGCTTGGAGGACTACGGCCTCCATACATGAGGCGCACGCGCACCAACCACTGCGCCACCAGCCACCCCGGTGTTTTAAAGCGGAGAAGCAGTCATTTGCAGAGAAGAACGTAATGCATGGAGCAGAGAAGAACGTAATGCATGGAGCAGAGAAGAACGTAATGCATGGAGCAGAGAGGAATGTGATGCATGGAGCAGAGAGGAATGTGATGCATGGAGCAGAGAGGAACGTAATGCATGGAGCAGAGAGGAATGTGCGCTGGTTCAAGTCAAAACTGGAGTTGTAAACTCAGCAGTGACCTCTTGACCTCCAGCTTACCCGTTTCCCACCAGGTCCGCCCCGGGGGCCACTCTCTTCTCTGCTGGACACACAATTTTAAAGTCGACACAATCTCTCTCATCCGAGTTATCTCCACAGTCGTTCTGCCTGTTGCACGTCAGGGTCGAGTTGATGCAGCGACCTGCAGCAGAAAGGAAGTTCTTTGTCCTACAGTATATATATTTATTATATTCATGTTTGTATGTTAAACCAGCAGATTAGAGGTCAAATAAAGGAGCCTGGGACATTTAAATTGTTCCAAAGGTTATGATAAAAACAATACTGGATTTAGAGGCTTGCTCTTTCCCCTTCATTTTATAACACTCCAGTTATGTAAACGCTAAACTTACCACTATCACACCTAAAGTCGTCTCTGCAGTCGATGGGTGCTAACTTGCACTCTGTGGAGGGGAAACAAGGCCTCTCCTCTGTCAGCTCCTCGCTGCAGGCTGATCCTCCAAACTGTGACGGCCTCGCAACGGACCGCGTCCGTAACTGTAGTAACCAATTCATGAGAACGACTTGTTTTATAATGTAAACCAAACTCTTACAGATTGTTAGTGATCATGATTTTACAGGGTCAATTTTGTAAAAATCAGTGGTTAGAAATAGAACAGTAATTAATCTTTTAATAGATATATTTTTTTAAGTCGTTTTCAGACACACTTGACGTGTGTGTGTGTTTGAATGTTCTTGTCCTCATTACTGTGTCTTGAAGGGTTCTGCAAGAGTTGAAGGACACACATTCTTTGCAAAAAAAATGTAGACACATTTATCAAAGTGAGGACAAACATAATGAAGAAGCGATTCAGCTTCTTCACTGAAGTAAAAGTGAAGAAAAATGAAGGCTCTTCAGAGTACTCACAGTATAACCTTAAGAACATTCACACTCAGGGAAAATCAGTTATAGCTTTGGATGAAGAAACACAGATGATTCATGGTGTTCTGCAGTGAGGTTTGTGTTTTTCTTGCCTGTTTCTTGGCGCAGGGCGAGCAGTCAGACCAAGGTCCAAACTCTGTTAGCAGGCAGTTGATTGGACAGGCCTGCTCGTTACAAGCTCTCCTGTCGTTTCTCTCACACAGCTGATTGCAGCTGGCCTTCCAGAAGTAATCATCATACTGAAATGTCCTGCCAAAATCAAATCAAATCAAATCACTTCTTTATACAGAAGTATTCTATTGGCGCCATCTGCATGAGGTATTTGTATTTCATGTCTAGGTGAGCGACTCTGATGGTCTGGTCCCGCCCCTCTCCTCACTGCTGTGTAAACACTAACAAAGTGAATGTTGCTATGCCTCATTTTTTAGTATAGGCATTATTATGATTATTAGTATTAGCCGTGCTGATCCTATGTGACTGGATTGTTATTTCCATTGTTGTATCATGTTGAATAAAGTGTAACTCATGTCACATTGGGGGGCTGTGGCTCAGTTGTTAGAGTCGTCGTCTCTCAACTGGAAACTTGAGGGTTTGATCCCCTTCCTCCTTCAGCCACATGTCCAATGTGTCCTTGGGCAAGACACTCAACCCAAGTTGCTCCCCTGCTTCATCTGAGTGTATGACTGTGTATGAATGGGATTAGTTACTTCTGATGGTCACCTGACATAGCAACCTCTGACATCAGTGTGTGAATGTGTAGATGTGACCTGCAGAGTAAAAGCGCTTTGAGTATCAGAAGACTAGAAAAGACTAGAAAAGCCATTTACCATTCGCATGTCTGTCACCTTGTTATGCTGCAGTCCGCATATGAATACAAATACTATAATGTGTTATATGGTCGCACATCAGTTTAGTTTCATTGCAGCGACGTGTGAATGTGTGTATGCATGTTTAGGTTTTTGCTTTTCCGTCATTATGAGCACTAATTAATTTTTGACACTTTAATCAAATTTTGATTTAATCTCTCTCTCTCTCTGCAGTCATTGCTAACATTATTATTAGTAGTAGTAGTTATAGTACTATTCTCTTTAAGTACTCCATACTCATCCCCTCACTTGCTCTACATCACCCATATATTATTATAGTCAGTGTTTGTATTTTGTAATTTCACTAATACAATAAAAAATGATTTTGTATTTCACAACAATAACTCATAACAAAGAATAAAAGAAGATAAATGCAGCTCACAAGGTTTCGATTAATAATACCATAAAAAGGCTTTTTCCAGTCTTGCTGCTGCCCACCTATCTGTATTGTCTTACCTGTGCCTGTGCTGTATCCCGTAGTTACAGGTCCTGGAGCAGGCAGACCAGGATCCCCAGGGGTACTGGTCACAGAAACAGCTCAGTCCAACTGAAATCCAGCTGAGCTGTAGCAGCAGAACCAACCAGCTGGAAGAAGCCATCAGGTATTCAAAGTGGTATCACCTCCTCTGAAAGTACTATCAAGAACATGCCAGATTTAAATCAGAATCAGAATCAGAATCGATTTTTATTGCCAAGAACATTTGCACATACAAATAATTTGACTTGGTGTTTTAGTGCAAAACTGTAAGAAGCATTTACTAACAAGATATAAATAATAGAGTATAAGAAATGTAAAAACACAAAATGTACAAAAGGTGCAGTATTCAAAGTCCAGTGAGCGTTAATGTAACACATAAACTCAGTTTCAGCCTTCACATTACTGAGCTACTCTCTGACTTGTGGGGCTGAAACTGATCTTGTAGAGAGGAGTTTTGGTCCTGATGGACCACAGCCTCTGGCCTGAGGGGAGGGTCTCGAACAGTCCATGTCTAGAAAAAAAATGAAATTCCAACTCACCGCATATACTGTCGTCCTCTTCAGGAGAGAAGGATTATGATTATGGAGCTGCTGCTGTATATTAAGGAGGATAAGAGCTCTCTCTCTCTCTCTCTGAGTTTAGCAGCAGTCTGACTGGAGGTGTGTGTCCAAGCTGTCTGTATTTGAACTCCCCCTTCATTCTTTCCTGGGAGTCTTGTTGAGATTTTTTTATACTTGCATTTCCCAAGCTGTGTCAAAATCTCAAAACAGAAACAAATCCCCCTTAATAATAAATAACACTGATAAAACATGGCAGCACGTAATGTTCTTATAACCCTGTTGTCTCTGTTTCATTACGGGAAGTAAGAAGCTCTGGAGTTTCCCAGCTGCAGAGATGTAAACCAGATGTTCCATGTTTGAGACTTGACACTTTGAGATACTGAGTGAGGTAAACATGTTCTTTCTTTCCACATTTTCTTCAGTTATCCAAGATTTTGTTTTGCACAATCGAGCAATAAACACAAAAATACAAAGTGGTCCATGTGTGTTAAACCCACCAGTTCATAAAGCCTTGTTCACTAAGTTGCAGAAAATCGTTTTTGTGATTGAAAGATGCAAAAGATAAAATAATGCACACACAGAAGCAGCCGGCTCATACATAATGACCCTCAAAGACCCCCAGTCTTTGGATAATTCTGCAGTCAGACTCAGAAGAAATATGATGTTTTTGTATAAAACTTTATTCACATTATAAAATGTCATATGATTATTATTATTATTATATCTGTACAAAGGTTTAGCTGTGATTTCTCTACAATGTGGGACACACTGACGACACAAACATGGCTCACTCAGAGTCATTAACATGCCCAAACAAAGAATGTAGCACCAGACATCACCACTTCACATAACAATAAAATAAAACCTTATGCAGACATCAACTTACAAATAATATTGCACTTACATTCAAAGGGGAAATGGCTCTAGTGGATGAGTGGATTGCATTTTTTGTATTCTGCTGTTTCTTTATGTTGGACATCTGTTAGGCCATTAGAAAGAAAAGAAAATATGAAAAATAAAAATCTTTTGTCTTCATGAGGACTGCTGGCATGCGTCTGATTGGTGCAGATTTTAGTTTCTATTTCAGGCAGAAAATGTCACAATGAGCCAGAATATAAAAGAACAGACACAAATATAAATACTGTTTTATTAGCTTTGTCTTTAGGTTGTGGTATAGAAGCATTATAATATAAAATTAGATTTCACAAGAAGAAAACCTGATGTAATGGAAACTCAAAGTTAAAGATGGTGGGGTGGCAGCAGAGGTGATTCTAGAGTCTGTTTGGGGCCAGAGGCAAAAATCAATTGGGGGCCCTCCAACCAGCGTTCAGCGGGGCGGTAACTTTATAACTTTTAATAACTTTTTATTAGTATAGCACTTTTTTTACAAAGTGCTTTGACACAAGATGGAGCATAGAAGCAAGCAAGCAACCAACAACAAACAAACCCCAACAGTAAAAGAACCCAGACGACAACCCGACCAACAACAGAAGCCAAACATCATCAGCAACACAATAGTTCATAATAACCCAAGCAACGCAGTAACCCAGGCAACGCAGGTTGATACCAAGAGGACTGAAGCTCTTAGAAGATAAGCAGGCTATGTGATTTAAAGAGATAGAAACACAAATAAGTGGCTAGAAGCTGTAAAAGAAATAAGAGTTTTCTTAAGAAGATAAAAAAATAGATCAAAATGATAAGAGGGGGCGGTCTTAGGTCTCTGAAATAAACAATAAAAACAGCTAAAGAATAAAATAGATTAAAGGCGATGAGAACATAAAATCACAAGAAGCAGTTAAAAGGAGCTGAACTCAATAAAAAGAGATAAAAGCAATAAATCAAAAATAGATACATCCAAAGGAGCAAACAAATGACGTGAGTATTTAGGGTAAATTAATTAATTAGAATAATAAAAGAAGTATGACAGGCTAAAACATAAAGAGAAGATACAATGAAATAAGGAGATAAAGAGGAAATAAGAAGGAAACCAGAAAATAGGAAGAAGACATCATGTAAAAGCAAGTCTTATTATAAAAGTGGGTTTTAAGAAGAGAGAGAGTGAGTGCTGTCAATTTGCACATTTTAGAGTTTGTCAGCCCTCTGGGGGCCCCTACTAGTCTGGAGCCCCAAGCAGATGCCTCTCTTGCCTAACGGAAACCAGCGCCTCAGGGTGCCAGATAGCCTAGTGGTTAAGTCATGTGTCCCATCATGCATGGAGGCTTTAGTCCTCATCACAGAGGCTGTAACTCGCCCTCGCCTGTTTGCTACATGTCTTCCCCCTCTCTCTCCTCCCAACCTTTCCTGTCTCACTACAGCTGTCCTATCCAATAAAAGCAAAAAGGCCAAAAAAATATCTAAATTAATAAATTAAAGACCGACATTTCTAGAACAAAATATGTAGTTATAAATTTGCATGCTGTAGTCCTTCTAAGCTGGCGGTCCGTGGGTGAATCCAAACGGGGCCTTCTTTCCAGCATGTCATTCCTCACTCTCTCTCTCTCTCCCCGATTTCAGACTCTATCCACTGTCCTATCTCAAAAGGCATAAAAAGACCCTCCCCATTTTCCAAGTCCATTACTCTTAGTGAGAGCTGAACATGCTAAAAAATATCTCAAGATGTCCAAAAGGCAAAGTTCAGCTAAAGCTTTCAGACAGTTTTTTTTCTTATGTGGCATAGAATTGAATTGACATTTTACACTTGATGTATTTCTTTAGAAACAGACCTAACAATAGTTATTCTTTATATACGTGTAAGTATTGTTACAGTGTGGATGGATTGCTTTGTCTACGAGGTGTTACACCACACAGGGAAGCAGAGACTCACCTGGCAAGAGTCTCTACTGAATGAAAGACGAAACACATGTGGAGGTTGTTTTGCGACTGAAACATCTCACATGATGAAACATTCAAACATGAAAGCGTGACACGAGCACAGTGAGAGAGCTTTCAATGAAAGATGCCAGTGCATAGCCTGAATATTTACATGTTTTATACTCGTCTTTATATTAAATGTCACAAAACAGAAAGATTCAGAGGGTGTTGAGCCCAAGAAAGAAAGTGAGAAGATGCCTTGAATTAGGTTGCAGATTCTCGAGGCTTACAATTTCCGATATGATGGAAAAAATACTGCCACTAAATAAAGAATATACGGTAATTAAGCAAGATTAATGAATCCCTTTTTATATCATTTACATCACAAAATATAAGCAATTGAATGTCCTTTTTTCGTCTTTGTGTTTACTGCAGTGTTTTGACCTTAAGACCCTCAGCCGGACACCATGCAGCAGAGTCCAGGGAAGCGTCTCTTCCTCTGCCGGATCAGCGGGTGTGGAGTCAGATTCAACAAGCTGCTGTCATCTGGAACACACAAGCAAACATTTTGAAATCAAACCTCATTATGTCATCGCATTTAATGATGACATTAGCCTCTGCATGTTTCTAATAAGCTCCACGAGCAGAAACGTGCTCAAACTAGGATCAATATTGGAGATGCTTTTGAAAAATGGAGAGAGGTTAAAACACAGAAAGGTTTACAGACCGATGCAGAGCTGGATAAACACTGAAGCTTCAGTGTCCACCACATGGTGACCTGCGTGAGCATCTACTCTAGAGAGGAGGGGGCGGGGGGAGACAGCTCTCTTTAATGTTTTGAATTTGGACTGCAGTACCCATTTTAAACACCAGGTGGTGGAGTTACATATTGTGCCTTTAAGTAATATGTCTTAAAGTGTCTTTACAAAATAATTTCAGTGAAAAACTTTGGACACAAAGAAAAGAAAAGGTTCATTGTTGTTCCAAGATGACCTGTAGTGACCTACATGTCAGTATGAAAAGTTGTAGCAGATGGGGAGTTGACTTTGAATTGCTAATGAATGACGTTGTGAATGTTTTCTATCACCAACAGGTACCTTGGTTTTTCAGCGGCAGAGGCATCGTGTCCCTGAGTTTGCTGAGTAGGTTTCTCATCTCTCGCATGTCTCTGTGATGACAAAAAGAAAATCAGTCGATAAGAAGAATAATTTAGAAAAACAACAGCAGTTGAAATTCCGCTTTAGAAACTGACAAAAGAAAAGTGAAAGAATGAATTGTTAGGGGCAGGTGCAGCTGCTGTACCTCTCGATATTTTCAATATCAGTTCCCACCAGCCACTGCTCCGTCAGGAAGTCTATGGGGGAGGAGGATCGCTCCTCCAGGATCGGGACGTCTGAGCTTTCATCCACCCTGAAGTCCAACTTCGGCTCGGAGTCCGTTCCTTCAGGTCAAAACAGAGACACAGCACACTAATGTCAACAAAGACAACTTAAACACAGTATTTCATTTTCTGCATTTAACATGTTTTCCCTTCACTTTAAACCCATACTAGCATTTGTAGAATTATATTTGTATTGCTTATCTGTCATGCAGTATCTGTTAAGGCTTACAAGCTTCACTCACTCAGTACATCTGATTGCTCTTTGGCTGTTGAATGTGATGTGTGTGTGTGTGTGTGTGGTTTGTTCTTGTGCTGTTCTTTCTTTTATGTCGATCACACACTGATGCCTGATAAATAAAGTTATTTGAAGTTGAATATATCCCATAAAAAGGAAAGCCCTGCGCTCACTACACTGTATTTAAAAAGTACAATCATGTACTTTGTGATGATTTTTCTATTTGTCTGCTTCGTTTAATCTGACTGTGCAATACAAACAACAAGTTGTCAGGGATAAGGTGATCTCGGAGTATCAAAACACTTCACAAAAAGTCTCTCTTCTCTATTTAAGGAAGAACTACCTCAACGTTGAATCAAAGCTCCTCTATATTTGTGGACTACACAAACAGCTCTCTGCTGCTCTCTGCTGTCTCAACTGTGAGTGAACTGAACTCTGATCTCAGATATCATGAAGAACTTTTATAGCAACATTACAATTTAAATATGTATTGGTTTCACAGAAGCTGAAAAGGATAGTTTATAAATGATTACTTTAGTGTGTACAGCCAGACACTTTAAATATACTCTACAGAGAAAAAGAGAGACAACAGGAGCGCAGACCACTGGTGCTCATAGAAGGACAACTTCACCTTCTTGAGACCCTAAAGAAGGTGCAGGCAGATATATGTCGGTGTATTCTAAATGTTTCTAGCCCTATGAATTAAAGGGCTGGGACCTGGATCATTTATGCAAATGTTTTTTGAGCTAAAGTTTTCCTCCACCTTTTTATAAATTTATTTAAAAAACAATACTCTATAGAGACTTCAAGAAAATATCATTGGATTTCTTGTCTTCAACGTTTTAGGATGTAAAATCCTTTTTCTAAATTCCTGTACTACTTATTTTGCTAATGTTGTTTTAGCTTTTGAAAATATAAATTAAAGTGTTGTGATTTAAGGATTAACATGTTTCCTTTTTTACTGAAGACACTCGTCATAGAAGGAAAAGCACTAATGTTATAAATGATCGCTCTCTCAGAAAACTATGACAGTGGAACAATGATCCACAGCAGGCACACTCTATGGATCCTGAAAATGAAGCAACTTTGCTAAGTTCAGTTATTCATATCAATACCTGTTCTTTTCCTACTGTGAATATCAAAAGATCTTGTAGAAATGTGAAAAAGACTCATTTCAAGGGGCCTTTCTCAAACTGCTCCCTCCACAGCCATACTTGTCCGTCTGACGTCAAGCCCACAGCTGAGTGAAGTACCCTTCGTTAAGGCGGAGGGGAAAAATACAACAGCAAGCTTATGGGTTAACTCCTCACACTTGCACAAGAAACAGGAACTTTATTTTATACAACCATTAATTTATGTCACTCAAATAATAAGTCGTCCACTTAAATAAGATTAGTAGCCTCATTAAATTCCCTTCACAATATGAGAGATGTCTATCTGATGTTTATACAATGATTAGTTTTGTAAGTCACTGTACACATCAGACACTTCACAGTCAAATAAACACAAATAACGTTATCAAAATGTAAAAAGTTGTTCATTAAGGGTCACATATTGTACTTCTTTTCAACAGGTTTAAATAAGTCTCAGAGCTCCCCAAAACATGTCTGTGAAGTTTCTAAATCCACTCTGATCCTGTATTTGATCATGTCTATAAACCCCTCTATTTCAGACCTGTTCAGAACAGGCTGTTTCTGTGTCTGTAACTTTAAATATGTAAATGAGCTGTGTCTGACTACGCCGCTCTCTGGAAGGGCTTGGGTGGCTCGGTCTTTCTTGCACCATGCCAAATTGTTTAAGGTGAGAAGGCAGACTCAGAGGACAGAACAAACACCTAGCTGTGGGAGTGTCACCCACCTGGGGGAGGGGCTACTGCCCTTTGTGATGTCATGAAGGGAAAATCTCCAAATAGCCTGTTTGAGCACACATTTTCTGAAAAGTGGAGCAGGCAGAAGACGGAGAGGATGGACTTTTCTCATCTTTAAGGGGTTTGTAGAAAGACTAAGGACACATGTTAGTGTTAGAGAAACATGATAAAGTGTATTTTGCATGATATGTGACCTTTAAATCCAGATAATAATGTAAACATTTTGATTATAACATCTGTATGATACTAAGCACTTTTCAACCTTATTTAGAGGTGTTCAAATTTGTGGGGGTGAGCGTGCAGATCTTTCATTTTGGCCTACAGAGCGTCAGGTGTTGCACCAGTTTAGTAAGCCAGCATCGGTGCAGACTCGCTCTCAAAGGGTTCAACAACCCACTCTTACCCTGCACTCCGAGGTTTTTGGATGGCATTCAATGTTGGGGACCCTTCACGAGTGTGCAAACAGAGTGAACATGTGAAGGGGGAGGGTGTCTAGGGAGTGATTTGAGAAAGGCCCATGGACTTTATTTTCCTTTTCTAACTGAGGGGAAGATTATTTCCACAACAATCTGAACCAAACAAGCAAAATAAAAATATTAATTTACATATGTTCAATGTGATCAATGCTTTTTGAATAAGATTAATTTCTCTGATATAATTCTTTCTGGACATTTTTGTGGTATTATCATTGTGAGGTTTTTGTGTGATGGTACTTTTTCTGTGCAGCTGCAGCACCCCGAGTAGGCACACGGATTTGAGCATCTCTGTGATGAACATCTCCAGGCAGCACTGCAGCTGGATGAAGAGCCGGCAGATCTCAGGGTGGATCTCTCCGTCCTCTGGACTGAAGCACAAAGAGGAGGAGGAGGGAAGCAGAAGAAGAAGAACAAAAGAAAGAGATCCATTGAAACAAATGTACCACACATTCAAGCTTACAGAAAGTTCTGTTACAGTGTATGGTTCATTTGAAACATCAGGCTACATGTTGAAAAATTCTACATTTCAGCTGCTTTATATAATCAATGTTTTACCCTTTGAGATTTCAGCCCAAAAAATAAACATATAAAAGAATATTTTTCCTAACTTTCTTTTTCTCCTATTTCTATGTCCTTCAAAAGAGAAACTTTTCTAGAAAAAACACCATTCTTTAAAAAAGAAAACAGATCCTTGCCATCATCAGTAACTGGAACAGAAGATAAGAAATGCTTAAAGTAGATTTTGGCGCCCCCTGTGGACAAATCTACAACTGATAGTTCTTTGTTGGTTTCTCCGATATGGTTTGAGCTTGACTGTAAATAAACATGGACTAAGCCTCTGTGACATCACCATTTGTTACTGAAGGGGGCTTTTGAAGCCCATCGATGGTGGTCTGCATGCTTGATAAGCTTTTCGAAACGTAACTTTGAGTCACCCTAAGACCAGGCAAAGACCTGGAGCTGAGGCGGATTTTAACCCTCATCATAAACTGCTACACCGCGGCCGACCATCAGTCAAGGTCAGCCACGAGCCTTATTACAACTCTTATTTTAAAATAAAAAAAATGATGAGCTATAAAAACAATGTCACCCCGTAAAGTGTACCGATAAAGACATGAGCTTTTTAGACCGATTTAATTTTTTGAACCAGGCTGTAAACATGTTTGTTTTTGCTTTTTGAATGGGTGTGTATGTGACTTCCGGGACTTCTGCAGCCAGCCTCAAATTAAATCAATGAACTGCAGGTTTTTGCACTTCTGCATTGGCTTCATTTGATCACTCATTGAGAATCTCTGCCATAAGAAAGACTGTTTTATCAATCAGTTTCAGGCATTAATAATAACAAAAAGCTCATAGAAATAGAAAATCTTGTCCCTGATGGTTTGTAATGCTTTTGTAGGTCATCTAGAAAGATCAGTAGGTCTATTCTTTTTCAGCTCGTTTAGTTTTAAAAATCCTTAACATGAGCTTTATTGTGAGAATAAATGTTAAACTCTCAAGGAGAAATCAGGTTACTCGAGGTGACTGACGTCTTGAAAACAATGAATGAGAGCTGGTGTTCCGTCTGCTGCAGCCAAAATCTGTTCCCCTGAAAAACTATCAGATGATTGTTGGTGTTTACCCTGACACAGAGATGACGGCGAGGTCCTGGTGTGCAGCCCGGGCCATGGAGCATCCTTTGGTCCGTGTGTGGTGCATCAGAGCCCGCAGAGAGGGACAGTCTGCTGAGATCTCTCCCACGGAAATGACCTGCTCCCGGTACAGAGCTACGAGGTTGTTGAATTCTTGCACGGTCTGGAGGAAAATCAACCAACAACAGAAATGCATGAATTCAATAAAAAAATAATCTTACAAGGGTTCCAAGAAAATCTATCTTTTGTCTCTATTACGCGGTTGGTGCATCTGTACGGCGTAAATAAAGGAACCTGTCATTTGGTGCAGAGCTACAGACAGAATCGGACCTCTTGCATATGATGAACACATTAATATTCACTTTTTTTTTTTCAGTAGGCTACCCACCATCCTGCTTCCGTCCACGACCTCCTCCGTGCTCTCCCTGCGTTCCGGCTCCGTCTGCGCCACTTTACTGACGGGGAAAATGATCCCTGCCGATCTGGGGCGCTTTTTCCGCCCGTACGGTGCAGAACACATGCATGCAAACACCAGCACGGGAGCCCAACAAGACGCAGATGGGTAGAAAGAAATGCTTTGTCCTTCACCAAAAATCTGAAAATATCACGCTCAGCCGTAACGGGATCGCAAAGGTTCGGTAAATGCAGGAGTGTGTCGTTACTCCTGGATGAGGACGGTGTAGCGGGTCGGATGGACCCCCAGGAGCTCCCTCTGCATCCCAGCTGAGAGGAGAGTCACCTTCAGCCCCTCCTGAAGGCCGAGAGGGAGGCTCCTCCGTCTTCCGCTGCGCGCTCACGTGTGAGGAGGATTCAGACGGAGCCAACAGCAAAACAAGTCGTCACCCACCGACTGATGATGATTAACTGTTTAGGAGCAGCAGTGGTCCAGCGTAACGAAGTGTAACAAAGTGTAACAAAACCTTCTCAAACACCGACCGCTGAATGACATCGAAAGGAGGATTATACAGCCCTGACATGTTATTGTGAACTCAAATCATTTTTCTATAAGAGTGCCAATTAAGCAAAAATGATTACGTGATTTGTGATGGTTTGATTATTATAAATAATTGTTCGCACCTCTTAAAGCTGCATTCATTCTTTGGGACACCAGGGGGCAGCACAACTGCTAGACAAACATCCTGCAACAATAAATCTGCACACAGCTCTTCCAGCGCAAGAAAGCAAGCTATATTGGATAGATTTAAAATATTTTCCAGATATAGACTGAGCTACACTGCAGTGTTAAAATGATAGGGATTATGTGTTGGTGTTAACTTTGATTGTTTTCTCATCAAAGAGACAAAAACATGTGATGTTTGCAAAAAATTAAGCCAATGCGGAAGACTGCAAAAAAGCTGCAGTTCCTCGACTGTCCACTTGAGGCTTGCTCCAAAAGACGCAGAAGTCCCACACACACCCCATTTAAAAATGTCCATTTTGACAGCAGAAATAAACATCTCATGAATACTGAACAATAGAGGGACCAAACAACCAGATGTAAATAAACTGAAGCAGATTTGAAAATTGTTCTTGCTGTTCAGTTTCCTCTAATCATGACATTGATCATTTTTGATTTATTGTGGGGCTATTTTCCTTTATTTGATAGGACAGTGGATAGAGTATGAAACTGGTAGAGAGTGGGGAATGACATGCAGGAAAGGAGCCATAAGTCGGACTTGAACCCAGGCCGCCCCCTTGGCGGACCACAGCCTCAATACATGGGGTGCGACCTCACCGAATCTGACCCCGTATGGTTTAGAAGTTCGTATCAGCATCGCTCAAATGGCACTTGATGGATGTCATAGTTATTTTTTAGTGACAAATGAACACTTGACACAAGAGTATATGTTTTTTTTTTTTTACTTTAATCAAACATTTATTCGTCTTTTCCACCAAATAAAAGATCTAACAAGTGTTGACTGAAGATTTTTTGATTATCCTTACAGCTTTTTCTGGTTCCATCCATGTATTCTTTGCCTGAGAGCCAAATCTGTTAGATTCCAGTTTAGTTCAGCTTCTGGACAGAAGGCACAGACAAAGCAAAGGCACCACACTGACTTGGATATTTCATCCATATTTTCTGTCAGTTGTAGTTTAAAAAAAAGACAGTTAGCAGTCTAGTCATGAACAGTCCTCTGCTTTGGAAATAAACAAAAACGTAAGCAGGAAATGTTAACTCCACAGTGCTTCTCCTTTAAAGTGTTTCACTAAAATCATTATTTCACCGAGCATCACTAAAGAAATCACGCTGAAGACTAAACCTCCTGAAACTACACTCAATTAAAAACCTTTTTTTAAGCCCTGTATGTGTTTTCTGTCCATTCTCCATTTTTTTCTCTAGAACAAATTTGCCTCCTGTTCTACATTTAAGAAATACCACAGCACTTGTTTAGACTAACATGTTTACTTTCATGAAGAGTGTTAAATGAGGTTCATCTTTAAAGATCCAGTGTCCATCAAGCACAAAGCTGTAGGATCATGTCTTTCTTATTCCATCCTGACAAGTATGGAGCACATACAAACGTTCTGTTTTAGGATCAGATACATGAAACCATCATCTTTTTTGTGTGCAAAAAACAGGTTATTCATTTTTCAATTGTTTCCATTGCATCCAGTGTGCAGCGCCTCCTGCAGCAGAGGTTGCAACACACAATCAGTTGAGTACAGACTTTGGTTTTAAACTTGATTTATACCAAACCTGGCAACCTCATGTTGACATCACAGTTCAGGAAGTTGTAGCCCAGATTTACTGCAGCCGGCTGATTGTTGCCAATACACACTGCTGTTCTGAGATAATGTAACCTTCTCTGTAAATACTGGTTTCACATTTCTGTAAGTGTACACGTTTATTCTGCGATACAGGACGTTTATGAATGAGTCTCAGGGTTGCTGGCAGTCGTCGGCTGATTGATTAAACTTTGGACTGAGGCCAGGCTAGCTGCTTCCCTATGCTTCTGGTCTCTGTGCTAAGCTAGGCTAGTTTCATTTCCTGGCAGCAGCACTTACAAACTACATACTCATTATGGGCCTTCTGTTTGTTCTTCTGTCAAAAGAACATTACCACTATTGATGGGCTGTACTGTAGCCAAACAGCTACCAGCCACTTGGACAACTTTTCAAAATGGCCAAAGTAAGACGAGTAAAGGCCCTGACACACCAAGGAGATCGTCGGCCGTCGGTCCTAGTTGGACTGTCGGAGAGCAGTCGTCGCACTAGTGCTTTTTTTCGGCCAATTCGACATATTGAATCGGCATCAGCGGTTGTTGAGAGGGATCTCTCTGATTGGGTGTTGGGAGGTTTCACTTATCTCCATCTCTCGACACAGGTTCTGTAAAGCCCCTTGAGCATGTTACTGTATCCATAACTTCACCATTAGTGCGGTTTCTCCTTATTTGTCGCCTCCGCCTTTTTTTTTTCCCCTTTTCCACTAAAAGAACAAGGGCCGACAATGCCAGCACCATTTTCAACTTTTTATCAGACATTATTCTCGATTAGTAGGTTACCTATAATACGAGTGGTGACTGACAGCGGGGTGTAAATGGTCTTCTTGTATCATAACAACGGCCTACCGCCGCCTGCTGGTACGAAGAGTTATTTCCTCTCATGCATGCGCAGAATGTACGTGGGGGTTGGCCGTCGGCTGTAGTGTTTGCGGTGTGTTCCAGTGCAACTTTTTTGGCCAAGACAAAGCGATGTGAGGGGACACCACAGGCGGCCTTTGTCGCCACTAGTTCTTTGCCATCTGCTTGGTGTGTCAGGGACTTAAAGGAAGAAAGGCAGCTCTGTTTCAGGCAGTGTCATGTTTTCAGTATTGTCCATTAATTCTGTATATCAGAACACCTCTGGGTGCATTATTGCATTTATACCATATTGGTAGAGTTTAAAAAAAAAATGTGAATACTTTCTTTTTAAGTGTATAAAACACTATGAAAACATCCTGCATGTGAACTGTATATATTCCAGGTTTTCATAGTGTTTATAACCTGACAATAACAATCTTTGTGTCTGATCACTTAGAATGAGTCGTCTATATCATCAGAGTGAGTGGGTCTCGTCCACAGAGGTCGCCATACTGCACTGTTATACTTTGACACTAGTCCAGGATGGACAGTCCTCACACAGACAACAAACAGGCCTGTATCATTATTTTCTAATTTTTCAAAAAATAAGCTTGACACAATCACTCATAATAACTCTTTCAAGCATTTTGGCAATTTGCAATTTGTCCTATAACTAGAGATCCAACTAGTTAAACCACAACCACTCATATGGTAAGTAATAACTCTAGCTTTACTCTGTTAAAGGAAAAACCTGCACTTCAAACTCTACTCTGCTCGTCACAGTCTCAAAAGAAGAAGTAGTACATGAGGAAAGCAAAGAGAAGAGAAACCAGGATCCAGTTGACGGAGTGGATGTAGACGATGACCAGGCCGATGTCGAAGAGCCAGCCGCGCATATCTGTGAGGTCAAAAGCACCCAGAGTGAAACCTCCATGGACAAAGTGCCAGCGTCTCCCCGCTGCCCCTGCATGCCTGCGCTCTCCTGAAGTCAGACAAAAGTACAAACAATATTTCATTTTTTGTCACAATTGATGCAACATTTCCGACAAAAACAAAGCAAATATTTACCCTGCCCCCCCAAAAAGGCAGATTCTGAAATTGTGAACATTATGATTTTCTTTCATAATTAAATTCCTCGAAAGAATCCTGAGCTGGGAGCAAATGTGATGTGGAATAAGAGAATGTTTTAAAAACTATGTCTTGTCCTTTTGGCTGAATCTTACAGAACTCCAAGATGACCATCTCTATTTTAGATACTTTCACACTTATCTGGAATCAGGCTTTAATTCAAATCATTATTCAAAAGTCAAGTTAGAGACTTAGTTTCATGTTTAGGTTGCATACGATTAAAGCAATTGAACTTTTCATCACACTCATGTTGGAATTAATTATTTATTTAAGTTTATTAGTTGAATTAAAGTGTTCAATTTTTTTCGCATCAGAAAAACATTCATTACTGAAGACGGTTGCAGTTGTTAGTAATAAGTGCTGAAACTGATTTACATTATCATTGTAGATGTTTAACACCATTTTCTATACCACATGAGGAGAGTTCACTTAGTGATTGTCTTTATCTCTCAGGGTTTGAATCACTCTTGTTTCAGTGGTAAAGCTCTTGGTAGGACTGTCGGCTGCTGTAAAGATAAAGTTTATTATTGACTATTATAAAGTGTGGAGAAGATAAAATCATTTTTTCTTACAGTGAACTCGGTGACTTCAGGACTTGAATGAGGTCAGTCTTAAGGGCCTTTCAGATGCGGAGGCCCCTTATTTTAATTGGACCCCTTTTCTTTTTTTTCAGAAACAGCATCTCGGTAATGACTTAAGATCATTCGGAGACTTCTCTTTTAAGACATCACACTGGACCTGTTCTGTGGACATTTATAACAATAAATAAAAACAGTTCTCACCCCAGAAGGACCGGAAGCGTTTGCGACAGCAGGGCAGCGGCCACTTTGCACACGGAGCGACCTGGAAGTTCTGCTTGCGGGGGTAGTACACTTTTGGGAAGACGGTCTTTGCTGTTTGGTTGAGCTCTGAAGAGAAACAAGATGTTTTTTTCTAAGTCACAGCCTGCATCCGTTTGTTAAAACCTTATTATTCAAAACAAATTCACTGACTCTACGATTCTATCAGTTGATGACGAGTAAAAGCGTTTCCCATGAGTCTTAATAAAGATTTACTTTCCCCACATGAAATCACTTTCACCTTTATGGAAGTTAGTGTGTGAGATGAGTGTGCGACAGAGAGGGCAGGGTGTGTTTGCCGGTCGGTTCTTGGCGATGGTGCGCAGACACGGCTCACAGAAGATGTGACCGCAGGGCTGACAGCTGTACGGACTGAAGTAGACGTCCAGACACACTGCACAGGTGAGGCCCTCTCTGTCCTCCTCCTCACTGTCCAACAGTGAAGTGCTCACACTCTCCACCTGGAGACACACACACACACACACACCTTCAACAACAACAACATTGATACAACCACTGACCAGAAGTCTTATGCATGTATGCTATAAAATATTTGTTCCCTCTCTTCTTTCCAGTTTCTGTTTTCACATCCGACCTGTGTGAACAAATCGAACACACAGGTTGGATTCTACCAACCCCATGCTCTGTGTCTCACCTGCTCCTGCTCCAGTTGAATGTTCAGCCATCGCTCTCTCCTCCTCTGTTTCCTCCGCAGACTTTTCAGTCGATTCTTCTCCCTCTTGCTCAGTCTGTTTGACCCCAGAGAGCTAGGAAAAGCCTGGGACTGAAAGGACATTCAGAATATCTGTTTTTCCTCCTAAAAAACTATTTTGTGCGTTATTGTCTTATTGCATGAATTACACAAAAAAAGGGGGTTGGGGGGAAGGGGGGGATAACCAGCACAACTACCATACGTATGCATGTCAAAATGAGAACCTTATAACAAGAAAAAGGAAGAAAAATCATAAAAGGGAACAACAAAAATGGCTAACCCCAAACCCAGACCCCCAACTCCAGGCCAAGACCCCAAGAGAGGATCAACCTAGGAGGCTATCATTGTGTCCTTGACCTCATGTACTCGAGCTGAAGATAGTTCTAGGTACACAATGTCACATTACGTTAAACCCCATACTGGATAAGAGAGAGTGTGGAAGCTTTCCAGTGTGTGCTGATGGTTTTGCTTGTGCATAATTTATTTTTTTTTTTTGCACGGCTGCCTTTTTGTAATAATGCGTTTTTGAATACGGGGATGAAAATAACAAACATAAAAAAATCAGATCCATCGATTAATCGATAAAATTCTATCATGATATATTATGTAATCATTAGTTGCAGCCCTATAGAAATTATATCAAATCATAAAACATTTGGAGACAGATAATAGAAAATAAATATTTAAATTATTCACAGTTAATAACTGTAACTCACCATCACTTGGTGGCCGTGCTCTGCCACACTGTCAGAGATGGATCTCCCTCTGAGGAACAGAGCTGAGTCATCCTCGCGTGTGGTCTCTGGAGAAGACTCCACGTCCTCCACAGCCTGCAGCAGCTGTTGATCCAGAGGTGACTGTGTCCTTTCAGAGACGAACCAACGGCAGGCGACAGCACTGACAGAGGCTTCTCCATCACCGTCAAACTGCTGACTCACGGGATACGACACAGGTGACCACGTAGACTCGTCCGTCCTTCCACTTGTCATCTCCACAGCTGACTTGTGTAAAGGGCCGGCAGGGCAAAAACATGACGACCTGATGGCGGCATCCTCCTCCACACTGCACCGTCGCCTGTGAGAGATGCAGTTTAGAGGACTGAAAGAAAACGACTGGGCGTTTCCACTGCCTGACAGTGAGTGAGAGACCTCCGTAGGGTTGCCGTGGGAAACGACGGCAGCACAGTTTAGCTGTAAACTGTCCAGTGCTGTCCTGCTGGACTCAGGCCTCTGCTCTCTGTTAGGAGAGCCATCAGACAGCAGACCAGCGTGTCCCCTCTCAGGCCTCGTCCTCCTCGGCTGGACTATAAGAACACAGTTTTTATTGTCACGGTCCACTCGGCTTTTGTTGAGGTGGACGGTTGCGTCCAGGCCGCAGGGACACTCGATGTGGTTGATGAAGTTGAAGCCGCCCAGACGAGCTGAACAGTTCCAGCAGTTCAGTTTTCCTACAGTCCACTGGGCCTGGACAGAAAGAGACGTGATAGTTCTTTTAAAAACGAAATGTTGAATCCAATCCTTTATTTTTTAAAATAAAATATAGAGCTGCAACCGTCAATAGGTGAAATGCTTGCCATGTTTGCCAAATTTCCAAACATTTCCCAGTAAACATGATGTAAAATCCAAAGAAAATAAAACAAATCTTCACATTAAGAAAAAAATATAAACAGAGCAATATCTGGCTGATTTATAATATTTGAATCAAAAGTTTTATTGGATCAATTTTGGTGTCTTGCCACTGAATCTTATTTTTATTCACAATAACATGAGCGATTGTGTTTGTTGAGATTATATAAAACAAAGGCGGATGAAATTGAAAAGCCACCGGTGAGAATGCAGCTACTACTGTAGATGTTGAAGATAAATCTCCATTATAATGAGTGGGGGAAGATAAATAACATAACACATTTCTCACTAAAGTTTGTGAAAACTGTCACACACCAGGGCTATATGACTAAAAATATTATCACGATAAAACTTGATATTGATAATTATAACGATAAGTGTAAAATCTTTCTTTCTTTCTAATTGTAAGGCTGATTTCTGCTCCTGAGTGAAAGTTGTTAAAACACAATGGTAAATGGTGATATTGTTTCAAACAGTGGGAAATGTTTGTAGTGCAATTATTGTAAAAAGAAATATGTTTTTAAAGTTTTTAAAATAATCAAAAATTGGAAACTGTTCCAAATTGTATTAATGACGAACTGAGAACAATAATTCAACAGTGAGAAAGTGAAATCACTCATTACACAGTGAACTCCCTTTGCTCCTGAGGCGACACATTTACCTGGTTCACTGAGGTCAGGATCCACTCTGGCAGCGTGTCAACATTCACATGCCAGATACTGCAAACAGCTGCTGAGCTTTCATCCGTGTCCTCAGCCTGCTTCAACGTAAAGACACACAAACAACCGAGAAAGTTCACTTCAGAACGACACAAGCTGTTATCTCTTATCTCTCTATATTTCACATGTCCTAAAACAAGTTTCTAGAAAACAAGCAATGATTGTCGAAGACAGATTTTAATGATCAAATAGACTCATTGATTCATGTTTAGTCCACTGGTTCCCAACCATTAAATCTAAGAAACACTGAGTCCAAAAGTAAACATGAATTGTAATTGTTTTCAAATGATAAATATCTCTTATCTTTCAGAAGCTGAACATTGTTTAAAATCCTAATGGAATAAGCCAACACAAATGTGTGTGTGTTATTGTTATTTTAGTTATAATGTGAAAAACTCATTTTGACAACCTCAGAGCAGACAAAGCCGCATGCAGCCCACCTAGGGATGCCCGGACCCCTGGTTGGGTACCAATGATTGAGTCTATGTGAAACAACTGAAACACAACATTCACAGTTTCTCACATGCCTTGTTTTGTTGGAATTACAAAATAAACAAACAGATATTCAGTTCACACAGATATGAAACAGCTAAAGCAGAACATTCACCCAAAATGAAAAACTTAAACCCAAATGTGAATTTCTTTATCTATTTAAGAAGTTGTTGTACTCAATGACTCTGGGACTGGAGATCAGATCAGTTAACTTTTTGTTTCAAGACGAGCTCTGACTTTAAAAAGACCAGAGACAACAACTCCTTACAAGCAAAGTATAAAGGTCGTTACTCAGTGAAGAAAAGGCTTGATAGAAGAAAAAACTGAGTGTTCACACAGGACACAACTTGAGATATGAATTGCTTTACAAAAACACAAATACATTTGACTAACCATTAACAGACATGTCGAGTCAATGATGCCCTTCCGGCACCTCCTGCAGCGGAGCATGACTCTCTTTCTCCTCCGGCGCTGAAACAACTGTTGGAGAAAATGACAGTAAAGAGATGAAGCTAAGAAACACACCTGCACTTAATGACACCTGGTCAAAGCTGTCTTCTCTCTACTAAGTTCAGTTCAGATGTAGTTTAAATGCACAATCGACCAAACACTAAAACAAACAGTTCAACTTACAGTAGGTCAGGTATAGGAGACGCTTTGGTAGGCCGGTGCTTATTTATATATGAGGTAACTTAATGCTGTTCCCTGTGGGAGGACATTATATTGATGTAGGTATTTTTAGAGTGAACATCTTTAGGGTTCACAAAAAAATGATTCTGGTAAGTGAATGGAAATGAATAAAATACTAGGGCTGCAAGAACACAGTGTCCTGATCAGTGTGACCCAGGTTATTGAGTGCCACACACACTGATGAGTGTCAAACTGTGTCAGTGTTATTCAACTGAACATGAGTGACAAATAAGAGACAAACAGACAGGATGGCTTTCTCCTCACAGCCTTCAGCAGCCCTGCACTGCAGACTATTGATAGAATAGTCTATATGATTGTAATGATGTTGGCAATTAATCACTGCACGTCTTTGTAAACACTGGACAGTATTTAAGCACATGGTAGGCATGAAGTCTGTGGTGTAACTCAGATTATTGATTCATCATCAGGTCAGTATTCTGGGATGGTGCATTACTGACGTTTGTGTTTTTTTTGTCATATAAATAAATATCAATATGACAGCATTTAAGTGCATTACATGGTGCATTGCAAATTGTATTTAACTAATACTAGCAAGTTTCTTGTTTACCCTGCTGTAGTAAAAGCCAAATCAAGCTGAGTCCATTTTGTGTTAAGTTACATCCCTTTTTCAGCCACACAACATCAGACATAAAGTTTATGGAAAGTATTCTGGCGTTTTATACAAGAAGTTTGCATGCTGGCTGCAGGGTCAAACCCATAGACTGTAAATATTTTCAAAATAAGAGCCTGGGTGGTGGAGGTAACTGATGTTGGTAAGTTGATCCCAGAGGTCCTGGTCAGGTTCAGGGTCCTGTCAGGTTCAGGGTCCTGTCAGGTTCAGGGTCCTGGTCAGGTTCTTCCACACCCCGGGGTGCGTTGTCATGTTGTTACTGCTTACTAAAGGTTGAAAGAGATTATTGCCTAAAAGCATTATCATAATGTTGAATAAATAAAGTCTGTCCCACATGAAGGCTTACTGCACACAGTCTGTATTGACTTGTTATATACCATCTGATAAAAGAAGTAAACAATGTGTCGCTGTTGTGTTGACGGTTCTCTGTCATTGTGGTTGATCTACAACAGGTCGGTATTTGTTTTGTGTCTTCTGTCACGTGTTGGCATGTTCAGTACACAGCTAACTTCATAAGTTAGCTAACAACAACACATGCTAACACAATAAAAACAAATGTCAAGCCGGCTCTCTTAAAGCGTTTTCACCATAAGATAAAGCTCTTAATATAATGACATTCATAAAGAAAATACGTTTCATTGTATGGGCCCTCCTACCTGTAAGCTGGGGAGGCTGTTTGAGTCGTGATAGAGGATAAATCCAGAGCACAAATAGCAGAAAGTTCAGCTGCCTTTTCGTTTTTTATTTTTTACTAAAGCCGTGACGTCACAAACTAGGACACTACGGGAAGTCTAGTAGACCAAAAAGGTCTTTCGTTGTTTCGCTCGCACCACGCTCGAAAACAAATACAGCAGCAACTGGACTGGGTCAGTTTAGCCCAGAAGAGACCAGCGAAGAGGACGAAACTGAAGAAACGAAAAGAAATGAAAATACTACACATGAAGCTACGTGTTCTGATCGCTCTGATAGCGATGACCTCTACAGCCTCTGAAGAAAAGTCTCTGGAGAGGATCATTTTCCTTCAAATTAATACTGGGAAAAATACTGAAATAAATACTGAAATAAATATTGAAATAAATACTGAAATAAATACTGAAATAAATAGTGAAATAAATACTGAAATAAATACTGAAATAAATACTGAAATGAATACTGAAATAAATACTGAAATAAATATTGAAATAAATACTGAAATAAATACTGAAATAAATACTGAAATAAATACTGAAATAAATACTGAAATACTGGTCCATTTCATACTTTAGCGACACCCGTCCTGTCCTCATCTTAATTTAACACACGGACATATTTATGACATTTTTCATGTAGGCTACATTTATTGCATACAATCTAAACGTGAAATTGATGGATTTTATTATTATTTTATGAAATTACATTGAAACAATTGAAAATGTGTTTGACAAATTGTGAAAGCTTCATGTTCTTAAAACAAAACAAAAAACAATCCCTCCTTTTTACTCTTTCTTTTATTATATTAAAACAAGTAAAAGTAGGTTATACCATGTACGTTTTATATGCATGGAGAAAAATGAGACACATTTATCTACACGGGAAAACACGGTGCTCAGCTGACAGTTTGCAGAGAAGCTGTTTTGTAACATTTATGACTGCTTTGTCTTCAAATTTTAAAAAGTATCCTTTTTTTAATTTGTAATCAATACCGATGGTACAAGTCTTCATTCGGTGATGTCTGTATTTAAGTGAAGTTAAGCAGACCAACACCAGGTGGCAGTCACACATCCAGCGGGCTCGGAGCGCTGACCATGGTGCTGACAAGAGGAGACAATTGCCCACAACTGTATAAATGTATTTCATTATTAGGTTTTGATCAATGTTACTGATTTACAGGATCACTTTTCTACTACAACTCAGGTTCTAAGCATAACCACTGAACAGAATATTTGTTTAATCTGTGTTATGTTTTCAACTTCCAAAAATACACGATCTGCTCACAGGAAAAAAACTGTGGACACCCAAGATGGTCCAATCATTTAAAATTATTATAAGAAAAGTTGTGATAGATTGCCCGTTTTAATATAGAGACATTAGTGTTGTTGTTTATTTTTCATTGAATAAAACAAAAGTTAGTTTTAACCGCGGTTTTCGTTTAAAAAAAAAAAAAACAGGTCACTCAGTTCACTACCATAAATAAAACTACGCTCAAAAAAGGTTATTTTCTCACAAGGTGCTTTTCCTAATCCTGCTCCAAAACACGATGTACTTCTTTTTTTTAGCCGATAAGCGAAATCCACTTGATTCATAAAATTATATATATAGGCCTACCTCTTGGCCAATTTCCGCTTTAATTTGCAGGACTGAGAGCAATTACAGAAAAATATTAATTCGTTGGTGTTTATTCAATAACTCACATGCACTTCTTCACCGACTGATCTGCGGTCTAAACACATTCAAACAGTCAGACTCTGTGACATCCCCACTGACGTGTGACGCATTTTCCATCACGGGTATAAAGAAGCAGCATCATTCTCCCTCAGCAGCCGACACTCGCAGTTCAGTCCCTCCGTGCTGCACACAGTCAAACAAGTCCATTATGCGCTCCTCGAGGTGCGGTGGTGTGACGCGCACCGGGCTCTCTACAAAGTAACGACAGCTCTACAAACACCAACAATGGAAAGCACAAACAACACAACAGATTGGTTTCAGTTTCTGAACTTTTCAAACGAAAAACAAACGGAGGAAGAGGAGATGAAGCTGAGTTACCAGGTGGTCACATCCTTCCTGCTCGGTGCGCTCATCCTGTGCGCAATCTTTGGGAACGCTTGTGTGGTCGCAGCCATCGCCTTGGAGCGCTCTCTCCAGAATGTGGCCAACTACCTGATCGGTTCTCTGGCTGTCACAGACCTCATGGTGTCGGTGCTGGTGCTGCCCATGGCGGCGCTTTATCAAGTCTTAAACCGCTGGACTCTTGGGCCGATCCCGTGCGACATCTTCATCTCTTTGGATGTGTTGTGTTGCACATCATCCATCCTGCACCTTTGTGCCATTGCGCTGGACAGATACTGGGCGATAACTGAGCCCATAGACTACATGAAGAAGAGGACGCCTCGGAGAGCCGCGGTCCTCATCAGTGTCACCTGGCTGGTCGGATTCTCCATCTCAGTGCCGCCCATGTTGATAATGCGCTCCCAGCCAAGCAACATAGCAGAGGACAGAGCGAACCCCAAACAGTGTCAAATCAGACAAGACCCCTGGTACACAATATACTCCACATTTGGTGCTTTTTACATCCCTCTGACTTTGATGCTTGTTTTATACGGGCGGATATTCAAAGCGGCCAGGTTCAGGATCAGGAGGACTGTGCGTAAAACGGAAAAAAAGAAAGTTACCGACTCTTGTTTGGCCTTATCGCCCGCCTTGTTCCACAAAAAGACTCCTGGAGACGGACAAGGTAAGACCTGGAAGAGGAGCGTTGAACCCCGACCGCTGCCCAGCGTCAACGGCGCCGTGAAACACGCGGAGGACGGCGAGTCTCTGGAGATCATCGAAGTGCACAGCAACTCCAAAGGCAACCTGCCGCTGCCCAACACCCCGAACTCCGTGCCGCTTTTCGAGAATAGGCACGAGAAGGCGACCGAGGCGAAGAGGAAGATTGCGATGGCTCGAGAGCGCAAAACGGTGAAGACTCTCGGTATCATCATGGGCACCTTCATCCTCTGCTGGCTGCCCTTCTTCATCGTCGCCCTGGTCAGGCCCTTCTGCCAGAACTCGTGCTACATTCCCCGCGCGCTGGACGATGTCATTAACTGGCTGGGCTACTCCAACTCTTTACTAAACCCCATCATTTACGCGTACTTCAACAAAGACTTCCAAAGCGCTTTTAAGAAAATTCTCAAGTGTCATTTCTGCAGACCGTGACGGATGTTATCCAGGTGAAAAGAGGAGCAGCACTGAAACCAAACAGCCTTTAGTGCCTAAAGTGGCACTAAAGATGGTCCTGATACAGAATGACGCTAAAAGTAAAAAAATAAAGAGGGATGAAAAACTGTCGATCATAATCATCGGTATCAGTATTGAAGTATTACCAGATGTGTCTGTAGTCTATGCATAGATAAAGCTGTGATCGTTACGCTCCATGTTCCACATATTGTTCTTTAATGTTCAATAAAGATATACTTTTTCACGATGTACATCAGTCGTGTTTTAAACATACAGTATCTAATTCAGCCTGGTGACTAAAAACAGTGTTTGAAAGTGAATATTATTTCTCCTGTGGCTACTGGAGACGATGTTTTCATAAATTATAATCATAAAAGGGGAAAAAAATGACTGAAGTGATAAAAATAAAACGCTGGATGCAGCTCCTGATTTTTCCTATAATATACATTTGGTGAACATGAACAACAACAATGAGCTGAAGGCTTCAGCAATGTCAAACAGATGAAGGAGTTATGAAGATTTGACGGGTTACAGAGAGATCTATTATGGATTCACTTAGCTCATCATTAACAAATAATCAGGTCGGTGTGATGTGTGAATATTTCACAGTCAATAATCATTTAAAGGTACAGTTACCCTACAAATCAAGTTTGCAAAAGAAATATACTTTTTTTATGCAACGATAAAATGTGAAGAAATGTATTAAATAAGAATAAGATTATTTGCTGAATTCCAGCTATCTTGATCATGCACCAAAGTCTGTCCCATAAAGTCATGGTCCTTATGAAGTCCTGATACATCCCACATTAACTTATGCAGCATCAGGTGTTTAGCATCATAGGTAAACATAACCTATATACTATATGAGCCCTATAATTGTATTTGTATCTCATCAAAGACTAGACATCGTGTAGAGTATTTCACCATAAATTTTAATGTTGTGTGACCAAACCCATTAAACTAATAGAGATCTACAGATTGTAAAAGTACCATAAATTGCAGCACAACTCTACAAAGCTCTTTTGTTTCACACCATGCATGTTAGAATTCTTTATAGCTGTTTAAGTGGCAATTAGAAAATCTAAAGGTAATGATCCAAGTTCTTATCAACACATCATTACTTATCTGTTCTCATTATGAGACTGGAATGAGCCGTTTAACATCTGCTCTGACAATGAAAACACCCACACTGATTTCTCATCTCAAATCCTTCGTTCTATGTGTTTTGTGTTCAGTGTTACGGACTTCTTCTGGTATGTACTTCAGGGCTTTCTTTCCTATTATGGATTTGCATGGAAATGATGGCATCAAACATCTGTGCTCCACAACTGCAGAGCCCTCAAGCAAGACACATGACGATACACAAAGAAGGTTGTCATAAGTGGAGGGCTTTTTTTTCTGTGTGAATGTGAAGCAGAAAATTATAAATCCCTGCTGACTCTATTCGACTAAATAACCTCTACAACCACATTGACCTCTTGGTGTTATGGGTAGGGTGATAAAAAAAAACTGCTTTATTGCATGTTAGCATTTTGGAACCTGCAGAATAAACATTCAGGGCAGAGCAAAAATATACTGAATATTTGTAGCTGAATTTTTGGGAAATTAATCTAAAAATGGATGCTCAATCCTTCATATTTAGATATGAGGGAATGTGCAGCCATATGAAAGATCTTTGATTTGAATATTTCTCCTTTTATAAACATCCTGAAGCCTCTATGGACACATGGATCGAACAGCATTTGAGTATTCGCCTGACTTCAACAGAACTAAAAGGGACAAAATGTGATGGGTTGATAAATGTCAAGTAAGTAAATTAAATGTGTCACATTATAATAGGTGCTAACTTACTCAAACTGTCTAAGATAAGTATTTCCCCTGAGCTACATCTCTGATCCTCTCATAATGTGCGCATATAAAGGGACTGATAGTCAAAGGAAGATAATCTGCATTCAGCAAGATAAAATCAATTTGAACATTTCAGATGCTGACACTGACATGGAGAGCATGGAGAGCTCAATGATGTTTGAGTGAGAACAGACTCGACAGAAAAAAATAAAATTGGCACCACAAGCCGTCATAAAAAGGTTGCTGTGAAGTGGTGGGGGTGCTTCTTTTGTGCCTCTCTCTGCCCTTTTCCTCCATCACTCGCAGCCTCATAACATATAAGTCCATCTTAAAAAGGCTGTGACGGGAGCACACAGATGGATGCTGGAGAGGGGGTCGCCATAGCGACATATGGGGCATGCAAACTCCTGGGCCGAAGGGGCAATTACCTGATCAAAGGCCTGCAGGGACAGAGGAGTACAGAGGTGTGTGTGAGGGGCCCACAGCTGGCAGCTCCACCAGAACAATAAGCAGGTGTATTCTTTTTTATTCTTTATTTTATCTCTCTCACTGTGTTACTCAGTGTCCGCTTATATATTTAATAATCCTCTGACAACTACAGAGCCACAAACGTTTTCATTTTAGAAGTTCTTACTATTTAGATCCCTTTAAATGCTGCTTTAAGTTTATTACAAGCCGCAAATTGCAGGGCTGAAAAAAAAAAGCCATCAAGGATAAAACTGTAGTTCACCGAGTGGCCTCTAGGGGCTTGCTCTGAAAGTGAGTCGATTCCCATTAGGGCCGGTTTCTAAACACACAAATTTACAGCAGAAATAATATGTTATAAGCCTTTTTTGTTGCCCCTTTTTACATTTCCTCTGTTCAAAACCATTGTAAAGGGAGTGAGGTATTATACATCTTCACTTTAAAGGCTTAAAGTGATGAATAATGAGAAGGTGGAGTCCTTCAATCATAATCTGTTCTCTAAACAACAGCACAGCAAATTCAGTCACTGAATTTCACATCTTTATGAAAGTATTTCAAAGTCTTTCCCTGTCTGGTCCAAATATATGGTCACTTCCGGGCACCAGAACCCCAACATGCCAAACTTACAGCTTCCAAAATGCAACCGACAAACCAGTGGGTGATGTCATGATAGTTGTTTCCACTACAGACTGTGAGCAGAACATGTTGAAGTTACAAAAGTCCCTGCAGTAAACTCTTCACCTACAAATTCCATGCATTGCCTTGCTTTTTGTGTGTGTCCATCCGATCATTTTAAAAGCTGACGTTGATTCCTTCTTTCATGCTCTGAGAAAGAAAGGACAAAGAGGGTCAGACGGAGCAAGAGGGAACTTGTACAAATAAACCACTACATTATGAGCCTGATCAAACTACTGTCATATTTTAGTTTTAAAGGTCAGGTAACGTTACATTTCTTCAGCAATAAACGTCTAAATCGTTGTTTGTTTTTGTTTTATAGAGACTGTGATCCTTGAGTGTGTTGACAGATGGCCTCTTGAAGTGGGGGCTACATGGTGTACCACACAAATATTTTCCAATGAATCAGGATTTGTAAGTGAGAATGAAATATTTGTAGGAAACAATAAAGATTTTAGTCTGATTTATTTCACTATACAGTGTAGTAGCTATATTGGAGCTGTCATGGGTTTCAGTGTGTTTTGTGGTTCTGTAGTAAGTACAGATAAAAAGATCATGTATACTGATACATTTTTAATCAGCACCTGGTGATGTGAAAATGAAGCATGCTCGATTCAGGTGGGAAAAATGTGTCTAACAAATGTATGTGTGTTAAAATGATCAACCTGAGATATCCCTGTATAAGTAGGCCTCGGTTTAGAAAGTGAGTTATAGGCTACATGTGGGGAATGTTCCGGTTTCGTCCAGGACAAAAAAAAGAGGAGCTAGATAACCTCTTTATAATCAGTTACACACAAATACACACTCGTTGACTTTATTCTACTTATGATAATAAGAAAATAAAAAAACTTGATCTCGACTCATCCTTACTAAGAGGGCTGTGTTCCAGATGTATTCACAGCAGCCTCTCATATTTAGTTAAAAACTAAAGATTAATGAAGTTAGAAAGTGATCTATCCTGTTGCCATGTCAGGCGGAAATTTAATTACGTATGGACACTGCTCATGTGCCTCGTGCGTAAAATGCGCGCAGCACCTCTGGATTTGAAGACGCACGTCTCGATCCTGCTGCTGTAAGGTTACTACAAATATTTAACTCCTACCTGAATGCTATTAAAACAATTTAATGGCATTTGAAACTTTTGATACTTTTGAAAAAAACAGAAAAATGCAGTGCATCATTTATATCAGTTCATCATTTAAACACAAACAAAACCTCTAAAAGCAAACAAAAGTGTTTCACGAGTTTATGATCGACATGATTTCTACAAAGTTAAAGATTCAACTGAGAACTTTTTGCATCCTGACGAGGACCAGTTTCCAACAGACCAATAAAGAGAAACTACAAACTTCTGACATGGAAAACGTAAGATTTGACAAACATTAGGTCAATCTCCGGGATTTATGGTCATGATTCAAGTTTGTCAGACCTGAATTGTACGATATGGTTTTATTTAACCAAAAAAGACTCAAATGAGGAATAATATATTTGTTGCTTATATATATTATTTTAAAACATATTTCAAACAAATACAGAAACTTTAGTAGTCCAATTAGAAATTGTATTCAGTATGCACAGTGATTCACACAGACGATCAGATCTGGACTGTAGCAGATCTATTTCTTGAAGATAGATATACAATTCACTTCAAAGGTTAAATTGATTGTCGAATGAAGTATTATAAATAAATAAACCATTGAATACAGAGTTTTATATAAATTTACAAAGATCCATCTTGGGAAAATGTTAGGCTACATTTGATCACATCCTGCACTGGGCCTACCGGATCTATTTTAATCAATAGCCTTTATTTCAAAAGATCAGAAGATCTGCTGTATACAAAATGTAGGCTACGTTATATTTCTATATAGCTAATCTAAAATAAATACACTAAACTCCCAGCTGAGATATTTTGAATATAACTGAAGCCATGAGTTCAAAGGTCAAAAGGCTTAAACTTCAACTCTGTATGTACAAAATAAACGACTGAACTGAGAACTTGTGACATCCTGAGCAGAATTAAAGTCTTCACAGACAAACTACAAACTTCTGTCATGGAAAACGTAAGATTTCACCACCATTTAGTCAAACTCCGGTGTTTACCGTCATGATTACATTTGTCTCACCTGAACTGAACCGGATAAGGTTTGTTCAGAAGATATTTCCTCTGGAGTCTCATTTATGAATATAAAACACATTTTAAATTAAATAAAGAAACTTTAGTGATGGAAAATGTCTCCAGTGTTTCATGCAGACTGTCAGAACTACACCGGATTCATTTATTTCAAAAAGACCTCAAGGTCCTGTCCTGAAGAGCTCTGTGTCAAACACTCGTTTTAAAAGCTTCATTATGTCTTTATCATATCTACATGTTACAAACGTATAAACTCAGACATTCATTCAGTTCACCTCAGACGATCTGGATAGAAAGACTGATCACACTGGGTGTTTAGTGGGGGCCAAGCTGCTCATTCTGTGACTGAGAGAATATTTAAGAGAGGGCTTGAAAGGGTTAAAAGGCTGTTTATGTCATTTATTATGAGAAGCTGAATTGTAAGACAGAATATGTGAAACTGATAATCAGTTCTTTTTTCCTATTGCATTGTCTGTACATATAAGTCTGATTCTAACGTGTGTGTTTGTGTGTGTGTTTTGTTGCAGTGTGTTGTGTCCGTTCACCTCACAGACCACAGCTACTGTCACAGAGGGAGAATCTCTGCACGCCGTGCACACAGTGACAGGAAGCCCAGAGCATCCTGCAGAGACCAACAGGTACACTTTCATTTGAATAGGTTTCATTGTTTAACAGAAAAAGTTAGTGATGAAGAGCAAAAGTTAACTCTGCATGTGAAATGATTTTAAATGATGAGTCTTGATGTAAAATGATAAAATGACCTTAATGTTACAAACAAAATAGTCAAGGGGAAGTTGACACAAAAGGCTCTGCTATGCTTCCATGAAACAGGATCATCTATCTTTCTCAAACTGATAGTGAAAATCTTTGGTATCGCTGAAATGTTTCATGCTTTAAAATAGAGTTTGTTAAGTTTTGTCAAACAGCTAACAAAGTGTTATGCTGCAGATTGTTCTCTTGTGAGATTGTAAAAGTTGTTGAGAAGTTTACTGTAGCCTGACATCCTCTCTATGTTACTGACCTTCCTCATCTTTTAAACCCAAACAGCAGCACTCTGCTCATCCTCCCAGACCGGCCCAGAAGAGGAAGCGGACCTCTGCGGCTCGTCCTTCCACATCTTCTGCCGATCATCTGGTCCAGAGGCCTCGGTCCCCCATCCCACCTGCTGACCTGCCTCTGGTCTCCGACGAGGCCCCTGGCCCCCGACCCTCCACTCCTCCACTGCAGCCTGACGGAGATCTGAACATCTACAACCGTCCAGTGGAGGAGTTCCAGCTGATCTACCATGCAGTGGTAGACGACATGCTGAAGTATGTTTGTGTTAGAAAAAACAAATCGATCACTTTCTTCATCACCAATCTGTCACACTTTTTCATCTCATGTATCGTTGAGTTTAATTTCTGTTTCTTTGATCCTCACAGATTCAAGAGCGGCAGACCTCGTCCTTACAGCATAGAGCTCGGACGTCGTCTCAAACAGAAGCTCTGGGAGCGACTGGACCGTCCTACCTTCACCGAAACAGTGGATGAAGATGGACGGATGCATGTGGACATGTCAGTGGGTGGGGACGGAGTCTATCCTCCCCTCTATGATGTGGACACATCAGGAGAACCAGCGCCTGGGAGACCTCCAGTGAAGAGAGCCAGGAAATAGAACTCATTGACTTTATATGAGTTCAAAAACACCAAACTGTAAATCTGTAAATATGGAGTGAAAAGTTTGAACTCTTGATGAGTCAACACACTGCAGAGTTAAACTCCACCTGCACCACCTGCCACGACTAACAAAGACTCTTCACACCATTTAAAGACTTTGTTTTCTGATAAATCTTCTACCGAACATCCACCTTAAGCCTCCTCCTGCCTGATAAAGAACCAACAACTTCAACCAACCTCCACCTAAAACCACCCAGCTGTGGATCAATACTCTACCTCCATCCTGACAACTACGTGCCTCCTCCAGCGTCTGTCAGCAGCTTTTACCATCCAACTGCTGTAAACTCAAAAAACATGTTAACCTCCACCTGCTACCTCTACCAGACATCTGCTCCTCCTCCTCCAACACCTCCAGTAGATTCTGGCAGAAAGGTGCAGCTTTATTCTTGATCTTCAACCTCTGCCAGTGATTTGTTGCTGCGACCTCCACCTGCAGATTCTGAGAGAGAGCACAAACCACGAACTCCAGCGTCAGTCACACACCAGCAGCCGTCAACACCACCTGCTAGCAACTTTAAAAACCTCTACCTCCAATATGTAAATATGTAGTGTTAAGTTTGAACTCTTTATGAGTCACACACTGCAGCCTCCAACTCCAGCCTCAACCTCCACCTTTGATGATAAGAAATCCTCTGCAAACCATTTTAATACCTTGTTTTCAATCTCCAACCAACAAACTAAACATCCACCTTAAGCCTCCTCCTGCTTAACAAAGAACCACTTAGCTTTAACAAACCTCCACCTAAAACCACCCAGCTGTGGATCAATACTCTACCTCCATCCTGACAACTACGTACCTCCTCCAGCATCTGTCAGCAGCTTTTACCATCCAACTGTTGCAAACACAAACAACATGTTAACCTCCACCTGCTACCAGATATCTGCTATATAATAATCCCACAGTTGACTCTGATATGGAGCTCAGCGTAAATTCAGACAGGAAGACTGGTTATATTCTTTCACAAATTCATTCATCCTTTCACTTCAACCTAAACTACTTCCTCTGTCTACCTGCTCTGGTGATCAGCTGATAATGGGCGTTTATTCTTTAAGTAATTAACCAACCAGATTCGGGCACAACCTCTCTCAACCAATCATCCTGCTGCAGCAAAATGCTTGAACAGTTCTCTGTCTTCCACAGTCATTCTGTCATTTCAGGGCAGAGTCCAGATCCAGGCTCATGATAGCCTCCATCCTCTCACCACCACCAGTGTTTAGACTCCATAGGGGGTATCCTATCCTGCTGACGGCCTCATTACCCTTCCGAGTACATGAAGTGGTCACGATGGAGTCTAATCTCCCAAAGACTTCAAATCTAAATTGTTGCACATTTATTGTTAACTAAATAATTGTTCATTCTCAATTAAGTCTCTCTTGATTGAAGTGATTTCTTGATGGACTTTGTTGATGTACAGTGTTTTAGAATCACAGATGTTCTTTGTGCTTTTCTTCAGGTCCTGCTCCACTTCAGAGACATCCAGATCTACAGGAGCTGATGAAGGTCCATTCAGACAGTTCCTTCTGCTTCAAGATCTGTGCACCAGAGATGTCTTCATCTCCTCCTCATCCTCCATGATCACCAGCGACTCCTGCTCCTCTCCTGAACTGAAAGCTCCTCTTCACATGGGCCCTTCAACTCCACAAAGCTTCCTCTGATCTCCTCCACAAGTCAGCTCCTAAACAGACAAAACATTGGACAATTGGTACTTTAAACAAGCACAAACATCTGCAAAGATAACTAAATATGTCACTTGTGTAGATGTTTTTTCATCTAGACTAAAACAAATACTTTTATCTGATGAATGAAATAAAGTGATTTTTTTCACTCAAAATGTAGGAAATGTTTTTAATTTAACATCTAATTTAAAATAAGGCTCTATAAATCAAATGACTAAATGTGTTTTTATTCGAAATGACACCCTGCTAAGTATAGAAGTCATCAGTGACAGGTTATTAATAATTTACTGAGATAAATAGAAACAATAAAGTGATAAAGAAGAAGAATCTTTAAAAAATAATACAGCCCTATTAAAATAAAATAGAGATAAGATAAGCTTTATGAGATATATAAACCTTTAAATTATTTCACCTTAATCAGACTTGATTTTTTTTTCAGTAAAGCTTTTCTAGTTTTTGACTTCAATGTGGGTCACTAATTGTTCAAACCTTAAATAAACCTTCTTGTTCACTTCATGTCAAACTTGTTACATCTCTTTATTTTGAAAGCTTGTTAGTTCATAAAAACGTTTTACAAAATGAATTTTCAAAATAAAATTGTTTCGATACAAAGATCCTGAAATCTGTGTTTGGACTCATTTTAGAAACTAAGTTTTTGATGCATCATTTTATGAGTTATTGAAAGTGATAGAAGAGGTATTTATCAACTCGTTCAAATATTCACAAGATATATATTTTTTTGTCATGTATCAATATGTGTCTCAGAGGATTTCACTAGTTCAGACAATGTTTCCTTGTTGCTCTATGAACTTGTACTTGTTAGTGGTGGGGATTGAACCCCAACCTTCCAGTTGAAAGATGACCGACTCTACCACTGACCCACAGCATCCCACAGGTGGTGCTTTAAAGAAATCTTTCAGTAGGTGCATCAGGATCTTCTGATGCCATTTTCCCCGTTAACTAAGTTTTGAAAAGCTGCACTGTTTACATAACTTTGACAGGTGTCGATATTCAATCAGACTGTTTTTTCACAGACTACTGGAAGAATATGTGAATTTAAAAACCTGAACCAAGCTACCATGCGAAAGCCAACTTATGATATATTAAGTTATAGCACACCAGTCGCTCCGGGGCAAGTGGTCTCAGCGCTTTTCAGAGTAAACTATAACGTATCACAACTGAAGAAAGAGACTCCTCACGACTCTGACAAGTTAACCCCGAAATATATCAGAGCAATCAAGATAAAACGATCATTGTTGGTCTTGAAAATGTTTTCAATTTTCCATGCAAACAACATTTATCTGCAGCATGGAACATACTAATAAAGAAACATTATCTATATTGATGTATTCATCCAAATCTCCTCAAAGACCAAATCCTAAATGATGCTGTATTCCCTTCTTCTTGATTTCTTACTCAGATTTTTCTTTTTTTTTTCACAAAAGAAAATCCTCCCTGAAAACAAAATAGATCCACAGCTTCAGAGAAAGCTTGACCTGCTAACTCAAATGTTAAATGTTTTTCTCGCCAGGAATAAAACTCCCATAGTCGCTTAAAAATGTTCCCCTGATACTAAAACACTTTGTGTATGGTTCGTCGTCTGTTCCTCCTCAGAGGCGGCTCCTGAGTGCTCTTGTCTGTAAATCAGTCTGCACACCGGAGGATGTGAAGAGTGTGGATTCAATTTCATTCATACGCTCTTGAACAGTTCAGTCATGCTTCCCCTGCAGCGGTGCCACGGGGGGCTCTGCTGTCAGAGGAATTGTGATGTGGCCTTTCAAAGCATCACAGGGCCCAAAGAGAGACTGAACCCTCATCGTCTTCTTTAGATTTTCTTATGGGACTTCTGTTGTTGAAGAAAACAGCTGAGAAGAGGCTGCAGATGATCCTTCTAAAAAAGGGAAACCCCATTTCAAACAGTGTTTATGTTGATTTCATGAACATCACGAGGAGGAACCGTGCATATTCTGTTCCAAGGTTAAGGTCAAAACGATGAGGCAATATATGAAAATAAAAGCAAACATTTTACTTGCAGAGTCTCTGTCACTGAGCATCTTTCAAATAATGCTGACAGTAAAAGCTTGGTTGATAACTAGTCCATAAGTCTCTGCTACACAGAAAATTAAAATACCACACAGAGGAGCTTAAAGGGGAGAAATATGCCATCTTTATTGGAAAGAACTACAAATGAAAACAGGAAACTCAGGGCACTGGTGGTCTAGTCTTTGCACACCCCCACCTGAACAAATAAACTACTAGAACTTTCAAACATTTTGCGATTGTTCATTTATCCTCTATAATTTTGCTCTGTGGTCGAAATAAAAAATGATTATTCCTTTTTTTTGCTTTGCGTTGAAGTATAGAGTGAAGGTTATGGTTAACCTAGCTTAGCATACAGACTCAAAGCAGGGGGAAAGGCTAGCCTGGTTCTGTCAAAAGTTCAAATATGAACTTTCATGCACTTTTAATCACTATCTTAAACAGTTTGTTTAAATGTAATTTGATGATTCATGAACAGTGATGTAAACACTGCATATGGCACAAGAATGTATTATTATATCTTTTTTTGGACTGATGTTTTCTCTGTTAGTATTCATTCACACTCTGCTCTCCTCCACTTTCCTTTTTTATTATAATAATGCCTTATACCACACATTGCTCTCTTTATTTATTTTCTGCAGGTGTTCCTCCTCCTTTCTTTCCTTCTTTTTTTTTAATAATAATGCCTTTTCTATTTTTGGCTCCACCTCGCCCTCCTGAACCAGCAGCAGGTGTGCGTGTCGTTACTTTATTTGGTTTCACAGTCAGTCATTTAAAGTGAACCATCAAACAGAGGCTCACACATAGCTCTCTTTATTTATTTTCTGCAGGTGTTCCTCCTCTTGTCTTGCTAATTTTAGATCAAGAAGAAAAGACAAAAACTTCATTAAGTCATCTTATTAAGTGGGAATCAGATAGCTGCAAATGAAAATGACTTAAAATATGCAAAGTTATTCAGATTAGAAGAATGTGATTTTCTCCAGATTTCATTAATCAGTTTTTGGTCTTTTGAAAAAATTATTTATAAAGGACTTTAAATTCTAACGAGCGACCATCAGTTCCACTTCTGTTTGTGTGTCCAGAGAGAATGAGAGACATGCAGGCTGGACCATGGAGCGTTATTTGTCCCAAACTGCCAATCTTATAAAAGTAAGTCTGCAAGCTGCTGTCAGGCTGCTCATTTTAGCAAGGTGTGTTTCTGTACATTCAAGATTAAATTAATGGGAGGAATAACCCAGATTTGTCATTCATCAATTTTTTCATCAATTTAAATGATCAAGCATGGGAGCACTAATTTTAGCTAAAGAAGTTGGACATTGTTATCCTGTTTGAATGTGTCTCTGCTGCACTTTTTCATGAAAGAGCAGACTGACGCTATCACCAATTAAGAGTTTTTGAATATTTCAGCCTCTAGGGGGCTCTAGTGGGTCTTCAAAATTCGAATGCTGCTCTAAATTGCCTAATTATGAACATTATTGTGTACTTACTTGTAATAATTACAATATCACCAGGAGCATTTGTTGGTTTAATTGCTGAGGAGGGACGAATGTGTGCATGTCAAACATGCAGTTTCTGCCTCAGTGGATTTTTTTTGTTTTTGTTTTAGACATTCCCGAACAGAAAATTTAAAAGGTTAAATCCCATCAAAGCACAACATTTAAAAATTCTAAAGTCAAATCATTTAAACATTTAAAGTCAAATCAGCATTTGAAAACAGTGATGTGTGTGTTTGTGTTTGTGTTGTGTGTGTCACCTGGCAGAGCAATATCCAGAAGTCCTCATTCAGTTATTAAGGACGGATCAGCTCTTGACATTTTCCATCTTCCTCTGAATCCTGCTGTCATGACCTCCACGGACTCAATCTGAAGTTTTGTTTTATTTTCAAACTTCAGTCCAATTTGATATTTTAACTTTGGTTCAATAACACAGTTATCTCTTATGTTATATATAACATGTATTGTATTATATGATCTGCAACAGACAATTATGAGCTGTGATATGAGAACATTAATAGAACTGTGTGTGCGTGTTCATATGTGAGTATCTGTTAGTCTCTCTCCCTCTCTGCCTGCTGCACCCCTGAGTGCCATGAGGAGGGGGATTTAGAGGAGCAGGTAGAGGAGACGGGGGGGACACACTCTCTGGGCAGCATGTGGTGAGGAGCTTTGTTTCTCCATCTCTGTTCTCTTTTTCCCCAATCTAGGGATTTCTTTATGTCCCCATGCAGGTTTACTTTGGGCTGTAGATCACTGGTAGTCCTGTTTTCTGTCTTTTTGTTTTCTCTTAGGTTAGTTTATTCCTAAGGTAGTTTGAGGAGGAGATGTTCGGGTGGTTGGCTCTTTATTTTTGTGCAATTTTGGGGGGAAATGATACAAGTAAAGCTCTGGGTTTAAACATTTCAGTGTGTGTGGTATCCCTATATGTTTTTCAGTCTACATGTTTTCAAACTTGGGTTCAATATTTTGAAGAAGATCATAACAACTTCTATTTTTCACATACATTTTATATAAGTACTCTTCTTTCCATCTCTCTTATTAATCTTCACGTAAGATCTCCACTCCCAGACTTGTCTTACATCAGCCATACTGTCCTATCTCTAAAAAAGGCATAAAAGCCCAAAAAATAAACATTTAAAATAGCTGCTATTTCCTTCTGGATTTTAAGGGATTGTACTTAAGTAGTTTTGTCTCCAACCAAAGTTTGAAAGTGTTAAAATTTCTCACTAAAAAATAATCAGTTTCCTTATTCCACAGATTCCGTCACAAGTAAAATAATTGGAATCATTAAGAGGTGACAACACGGAGGTCAATGCAAGCAATAACCATTTCCTCTCAGTCAGACTGCTGCACAGATTAGAAACTGAGAGGAGGATGGTTGTAATTACCAACAAAGTGCTCTCTGAGTCAAGGACCTCTGGGACGGAAAGTCACTCAGAGGGACTGAGGGTCAGATTTATGATCCGGCAGAGCAACAACCAGCAGTCAAGTCTGTTGTGAAATTAACAGTTTATATTAATTTCAGAAACAGGGAGCACAGTTAATGGGAAGTACTGAGAAACAGCTCAGCCAACACAACACATTTGCATCCAACAATTTACACATTTAACACACGCTGGTGTTGGACAAATAAGTGATGGCTCCTATTATTTGAACATTGTTTCCACCTGCAGGCAATGTGTGGTACAACTGTAGTTTGTGTTATCCTCTATTACTGCTGACATTGGCATCCATCCATGCACATCACTCTCTCTCTTTAACGGCTGCAGCAGTACGCAGATACTAATGTTTTTCCTGCTCAGCTTACAACCTATTAAGAGATCATGCTTCAGTATGTGCAGATTGAATTAACAGGCTTTTAGTATGGAGATAGCAGCGTCATTACCATGACAGAAAAAAGATCTGGAAGTCTGGAGCGGCATGTTTTTTACCACAGCAAGAAAGCATGTTGTCCTGCATTTAAAAACTATTGTTGAAATATACATGAAAGGCTTTTGGGGGAAAACTTAATAAAATAGGAATAAAACATCTTCATGAGAGCTGGCATTGGCCAAGGTTGATGAGAATCATTGTTTATGCTTCCAACCCAGACATGTTTTTTGCATATCCAGGTTGAATTTAGGTTGGTATTAAAGGTCACATATTATGCAAAATCCACTTCACCATCTTTCTCTAACACTAATATGTGTCCCGAGTCTGTCTACAAACCCCCCAATTATGAGAAAAGTCCATCCTCTCCGTCTTCTGCCTGCTCCACTTTTCAGAAAATGTGTGCTCAAACAGGAGGTTTGGAGATTTTCCCTTCATGACATCACAAAGGGCAGTAACCCCTCCCCCAGGTGGGTGACACTCCCACAGCTAGGTGTTTGTTCTGCACTCTGAGTCTGCCTTCTTACCATAAAAAAAATAAAAAATAGGGCATGGAGCAAGAAAACCCAATCCACCCAAGCCCTTCCAGAGAGGGGCGTGATAAAGGTACAGACACAGAAACAGCCTGTTCTGAGCAGGGCTGAAATAGAGAGGTTTATAGGCAGGATCAGAGTGGATTCAAAACAAGAAACTTCACAGACATATTTTGAGGAGCTCTGAGACTTATTTAAACTGGTTGAAAAGGAGGAGAATATGTGACCTTTAAAAGGTATGGACCAGATTTTTACAGATAGGTTTTAACACTTGGCATTTTTTTCAAGTTATTATCCAGCAAACATACAATAATAGCAGTTACCTACTACAAATGGGATACATATTTTCCTGCAAATGTAACAGGGATTTGTTACGTTTATGGGAGGTTAAAAATATTCAGATTAAAAACTGTAAAAACTTTTCACAAATGTAATAATGAAAAACTATCTTTGTGGTCTTTGTTATTTATTATCTACTTAGACACCTGCCAACGGGTTATAATATATTATGCTGGATTGGCTGTTTAGAGAAGCAAATCATGTACGAGTCGAGAAACTAAAGTGAGGGAAGCACAAAAAGGAATTTTTCTGTCTTTTCCAAAGGCAATACACAAGGGATTGACAGTGCAAGAGCAATTTGCACGCTGTCATCAGACATATTGTGGATTAAAAATAGACATCTTACAAATCCTTCTGAGCGGGGAGTGTGAGTGTTGTAAGCAAGGCAGGAAAATGCCTCTTTATCATGACAATAGTTTGTCTATCCCAGTCCTATGTGAAGATCCACTTAGAGGAACTGGCTTATTCGCAGGCAACAAGGTTATTTAAGAGAACGATCAATCAGTACTAATCCCTAAATGTTCTGTTATGAAGGATTAAATAATTCAGAAGTTGCACCTATTATATATTTGCTGTTGCTGCAATGTGTTTTTAAACATTGTCAAGAGACAAATGGAAACATTTGAAATTCTACAATTTCAATTCAGACTTTAAGATAAGTGAAGAAAATGCAAGGCAAGTCGAATACAGAGTGAGAGTCAGAGGAAACACATTGAGTGAAGGGAATGGTGTGAAACAGGGAGGGACTGCCGAGGAAAACCAGCTCAGGAAATGCCTCCTCTGAAGGAACAATGGGCTTTGCTACAATGGCTACACTGTAAAAAACAAGACATTGTATGTGAGGAAAATAAAATATCCAGATTAAATAACACAATTAAACTTTTGTCTTTATGTCAGTGTTTTAAACTCAACAAAGTTCTTTCTATTTGGGTGTTATGCATCAAAAATATACAGTATACAAATCTGTCATTTTGTTTCCTTTAATCGTCTAATGCAAGAAAACCAACATCACGAGGGCACACCTTGTTATCTTTATAACACTCTTCACTGAAACTCCCACTCCTAATTATACTGACATAAGATAGTCATTTTCATTTAAGATCAACTCAAACTTTAGCATTCTCACCTTTAAGTCCAACTTGAGGTTGTTTTTTTCCATCGTTTGCACCTCGTGGTTGGTGCATTGTTCCAACAGTAGCTCACTTGCACTCGTTACAAGAAGTTTGTAGAAATTATCACAAATTTGAAAAAGCAAAACTGATGTATGTAAATCTATATGCATTATTTTGATTTGGTCCCATCTTTGGTAAGAAATACTGCAGACACTTTATCACCCCAGGATAGCGAAATATGTAGAGTCTTCTCAAATATTAAAGTGTCTGGTCCTGTTCTGTGTCTGAGGTCAGAGGTCAGAGAGACGAGTGTTCAAACAGGATGACTTTTGATTGGTTGGAGATGCTGGAGAGCCTCGACGGCCTGTAAGCTCCAATCCGAGAGTACACATCCACATCTGAGCAGGCGCCCCACGACAGGTGGGGGCTGGGTGGGGTGGCGTGGATCATAGGCAGGGGGAAAGGAAAGGGCAGAACCGCAGCTGCTGGAGGGAGAGAAGGTGGAGCGTGGAGTGGGGGTGGAGGCAGGGCAGGAGGTGGGGGGAGTGGCAGTGGGGGTGGAGAAGACATTGGTGGAGGTGGAAGTGGTGTAACGGTAGCAGTGGGTATCACCTGGCTTACAGTGTGGACGGGTGGAATAGTTTCAGGAAGCAAACCGTTCTTGGCTGGTAGGTCCAGACACGGCTCAGGGTGTTTGAGGGTGTAGGTGGCGCTGTGGAAGAAGCTGTGGTACTCCAGAGCGTGAATTGCCCGGGCCATCCTCAACCTGCAGAAAACAACACCGTCAATAAACCTGAAAAATGAATTATGGGTGCAAAATCTTCAGGAGTTTCACAACAACAAGTGCTTGTTTTTGCCGCTTACTGTCTCGGACTGTGATTTTAAAGCTCCTGTGAGGGGTTATTGACTGGTTGTTAAACAGACTGAAATCGATACGGATGCCTCTATATAACCTTTAAAAGCAAACAAGAGCATCAGAAAGAAGACTGAGTGTTTTTGTATTTTTATTTTAAATGTTGGAAACCTTCATCATGGGTGTCATAGGTTTCGGATGAAGCTAAAAAGCGCACTGCTGAAACTGCCTTTGTTTAGATTTTCCATTAAAAAGATGAACAGTAAGTTATATCTTTGACTGTAAAAAGACATCAGGATGAGTGTTTTGTACTTCTGAAGCATGTACAGGACGGGATAAGCAAAGAGATGAGACGTACAGCTCTCTCTACAGAAGTCACACTGTAAATAACACAAACCAAAAATTCCTCACAGGAGCTTTTAAGTGCTTAACAACATTATGATAAGGATTGATACAAGCAGCTACCATTTTTAGGAGCAATGCTCATGCTAGTAATATGGTCATATCAACAAATTTGTATACTGCAAGGTAACATTACTGTATCACTACTACTTTGTCAACAGAGACTTGTGGCTTAAAAGTGAGCGCCATCACATCTGTTTACATTAGACGTAACTCAACACAGCAGCTCTGAAACAATTCTTGTTGTTTTGTCTGACATTTTTTACATAATAGAAGCTTGTCAATGGCAATAAAGGAGTAACCTTTGGTTGGGCATATTTGCCTCGAAAGGTTTTCTTGCCGCTACAACAGCCTGTCTCACAGCTGCTGGCTAAAGATATTCAAAAGCCTTGTGTATCAATAAGATGTTAGGACCCCAGAAATATAAACAACATGTAAAACACAACAAACAAAAACTATAAATTAATTCAACTTCAAGTGCAGAGTTAGGACATGGTTAGCCTAGCTTAGCATAAAGACTGGAGACAGTTAGACTGGCTTTGCCCAAAGTTCACACGGAATTGAGGCAAAGTCACACAAGAAAGCTGCATGAGAAAATTAGTCTACAAATCTTTGCAAAATACTTCGTACTTAGCTGGTAAACTATCATAGCTGGAGATATATCCCTTAGAATGTTCCTTTAACTTAGCCAGTGAAAATAACAGACCAAGCTTCTTTCTGTTTATTCTGTAATGTCCTTTTTAATGTGGCAGAATCAATCACAATTTCTATCTAACAAGCAGTTAAGATAAACAGTGAAAGAGGTGAGAAAGGCAGAAAAGAATGGATTTGTTAAACTTGGATGTGGATTAAGTTGGTTTGTAACTTGTACACACCTGTGTCTGAGCTGTAGGAGTCTGTAGAGCAGCAGCAGGATCACGACTCCAGCCACAGCCACCAGAAGCACCACCACCCTCACATCCAGGCTCCAGCACGATTTCCCACCTGAGCTGCAGGCCCTGGGGGTCTGTGGAGTCTGGAGGGGTCCCTCCATACCCCGTTTGGGATTGATGATGGCCTGGGCCACGGCAGGCTGGATGGTGTCCGGCAGGGTTGGGTGTCTGAACACAGGAGTCTGAGGCTGAGGAGGGATCTGTAGAGAGGTGCTGCTGGTGACCTGATAAACAACCCGCATTGCTGCCACGTTTGATCCGGAGGGGAGGAGGCTTGATCTAAGTTACTTCACCATATTTGACACACTCTGACAAGCGAGAGCAGTTTTCCCGAGCGGGCGTCTGAAACATTAAAAGTTATCAATCACTGAATTGTAAAAAGTTCTGAGTTTCACAAAACATAAAAAAGCAAACTCTGCATGGACTGGATCTTGTCATTTACCACATTATAAATGTTTCTCATTTTGATTTCTGCTTGTAAAAAAGTAATTACAAGACATTAGTTACTTCCTGAACCCCTCAGGATACAGCACTCTGTGTGTGTGTATCCGACTGTGTGTCTATGTGGAGCTCCCCCTCTGACTAGGAGACCAATATTACGCCATCCTGGAATCATAATGATGTACAAAGACCTGATGACAGCTGGGCTAAGTTACAGGGCTTTTGCTGTAGCAGTCTGAAAAAGGCTACAGTAAATGATAGTCATGTCATGGAAAGAATCAGCCCTTGTCTAGTATCTAGAGAGATGTATTTGTTAAACTCTCAGTAAAGCAGGTTAAATACGTAAGACCCCATACCAACAGAAGGACCCTTTGGCGCTGTCTTGTCATAGGAACCCAAATTATTATTGTTTCACGTTCTCTCTCCTGTTTCGGTTTTTGGGTAAAGGTGTGGTCATACCAAAAGAAAAGCACAATCTTAACAGCTTGCTTGAGCACAAAGATTCCTTTTTTATAACTTGAACTGGTTATTCAAGTCAGTAAAAAGATTCTGTAAGATATTTCTGAAAACCAAAACTGAGTCTACAACGACAGCCAGAGGCTCACAGAGATTTATTTCACCACATACTCTAAGAATGATATCCGGATTGAATTATTCTACTGCTTGAAGTTACTGTTAGTTTAGTCAGGCTCAGCTGGACTGTGCACCAGGATTTCTCAAACTACCAACTATGAGTGATGCATTAGAGCCAAAACAAACTATTTGGTGTAGTACATCTGTGTCAAGCAAAAATAGACAAAGTTTGGCTGTAATTTTAATTTAATGAAAGTGTAAGGACTCCTGAAGCAGAATTAAAAGAAAGTAATACTCTTGCTTTTAAAGGTCTGTCCAAACCCAAGAACTTTTTTAAAATGCTTGTTCTAACTTTATCTCCATTGATCATTTCAGATTCAGTATCAGGTCGTCAGAAGACTCTCAGAGATGATTGGCCTTCATGACCCGCCTCAGGTGACTTTTGGAAGAACAAAAAAATTCAATATCATCTCACACAAATGTGAATATTTTTTAGTCTCTGATTTGATCTCACTCGCTTCATGATTGGTGTGAACACACATATTAATGTTAAAGCTCAGAGTGCTACAGCATGGAAGAAGTGACTTCAAGCTGAGTCATACGCAGTGACATCACTGTGGTAACATGAAGAACAGAGCAAATAACGAGAGAAGTGACATGACTGATTTCTTTTAGCAGGTTTTCAGGAACTATTTAATGCCACAAAGTCCAATTATTATTAAGTATTATTAATAAAAGAAGTCTAAAATCTGAACTCCCTAAGCTTAAAGGTGCCGCTTGTTTCTTTTGGTATACAAACTAATTCATTTTGGTCTAATTCATTTTATTCATTAAGTGCTTCTGGATCCAATTCTGTGTATGAAAACGTGCAATAACTTATCTTATTAAGCACTTGTAATTAAAGCTCACCACTTTACTCACAGATTATTACAATTTTACAAATGACCATGCATTTAATAAAAACCATTAAATGATTCATTTTTAACCTTTATTTTAAAAGACAACGCCTTTGCCTTTTTAAAAAACAAGTAAAATCACTGAACCCAGTTACAAAAGAAGCCAAGAACTGAACAACAAGAACAACTGGCTTAATGTGCTGTGAACCTTTAAGAAAAGAAATTTCAACTTACCTACTCATTTTAATTCGATGGCTTTGAGATGGTTCATTAATTATTTAATCAAATTAAGAAAGTAATGCGAGGAAAAATGATGAAGTGAACCGAAGGGCTGGTTGAGAACTTTGTGACTTTCCAGGATCAGACGCAGATTCCTGAGCGCAAACCAATGGGAGGAAACCAGTGAAACCAGCAGGAAACCGTGCACTTCCTCAACACTCGGTACAGAGATATGATTGGGGAGCACTTTCCATCACTATGGTTACAGGAAACTGGTCAAGGATGTCTTTTTAAGGACTTCATTTTGAGTTGAATGTGCGTCTCAAACAAAGTGATCACACAGTAACTAACTGAAAAAGAAAACAGGAACAGTAATCATTATTTTAGCCTTTGGACAAAGAAGTCTGCATGTCATCAATCCATGTAGGGCAAAAAAGTTAATAATTAAACCCTTTATATGTCATAGCGGGGGTGTCGAGGAAAAAACATAAACTTTAGGCCCAAACGTAAATCTTATGTTAAAAGGCTTTTCTGCTCTGATAAATAAGGGAACAAAACACCAAACAGGACTACACAGTCTGACCTTTAGATCCAGGCTTTATTTGGAAAAAGAATTGAACAAAAAGCAGTTTCAAAGTGAAAAAGACTGAGCTTTTTCACCACCAAAGCAGCCCACATTAGCCCTGGCGGTGCTGGTGTGGGTCAACAGATGCAGAGAGATGGTGGCTGCTGTGAAAGGCTTCCTGATATCTGATTGAGCTGATTCAGTGGACGAATAAATGACACACGAGCAGAGAAAGAGGCCAGACTCCGACGCAAGTCCAGCTCTCATTTATCTGTCTAATAAGTTTTGATGCCAGGCCAGAGGGAGGAACTCTTAGCACTACACTCAATATCCCTGCCTGGCACCGTCACAATCGTCTGATATTGAAGAAGAGAGTAATATTAAAAGATCTGTTATCAGGGGGACAATTATAGTTCTGGAGGGAAGTGATCCACCCAGACAACCTGCTGGAAAATGACTCGGGCTGAACTCTTAAAACCACAAAGACAATATCAGGGACAAGAGTCTTCATTCTGGTCTCTTTAATCACTTTTAATATTATTTTGTTCTGTCTTTTAATGTTTGATAAATTAGGCATATTTAGTTTCTTGAAGAGCATCACAAGTACAGAGTAAACACTTTTAAATGAACATAAAAATGAATGTATCTTTACATTGATGTTTGCATTAAAGCTCCAAGTGGTAACTATAGATACCGTCTCTTGTGGCGCCTCATGTGGACAAAGTGCACATCTTAAATCTGTGTTTTTTTCCATGTTCATGTGTAAGAAGTGATTCTCTGACAGAAAATCTCACCCTTTATGTAAAATGTTTGGCATCATTCTGTTAATCTCCTCGTCTGACATCTGCCCCGTGGCAGCAGATTCATGCATTTCAAATAACTAGAAAGATAGAAACAATCATTCTTTTTCCTTTTGGTCTGGTTTTATTTCGTTGCTCATACAGAGGCATCTTTTTTAAGTTCAGTCTATTTCATAACTAGTTAAAAACTCCTCACCAAAGCTTTAAGAATGTATTCATTTTCAACAAATAGCTGCTGCATAAGAATTTCCATTATCAGCATGAACACTCTTCTGAATTACAAGCATGAAATTATGAGCAAGTAGGAAAGAAAAGATGATTATATTTATTAACCATTTCTGTGAGGATGCATTTAATGCACCTTAGTAATCTCCAGGTTGGGCTAAGGTAGCCTCAAGGGCCTCCTGTGGGATCTGCTAGGCAGGATTAAGGCAAGGTAGCTAGGATTGAGACCTAGAGCTGAGCGGGAAATTGAGTAGCAGAGAAACAAAACAGCCACAAAACAACGGTGTGTGATAGATGATGAAAGAATCAAAGCAAGTGATCATGATGATGAGAGGGATAAAGATAATGAAGATGAGGATGACAGAAATGATGGTGATGAGAGTGATGACGATGATGAAGAAGGTTAGGAGGATGATGAAAGTGATGATGATGATGACAGTGATGATGATGAGGATGGAAGTGATGATGATGAGGCTGATGATTATCATGAATAGTAGGAGGTTGACAGTGAGGATGATTGTGATGATAAAGAGGATGATGATCCTTATGATAAGAGAAAGAAAACAAGGATCAGGATAATGATGAAGAGAATCACAACGAAAAGGATATACATTTTTATTTTGATCTTTACTTTGATAAAGATGACGATGATGATGTGAAGGGAGGTTTTTGTTTTTTAGGGATGATGATGAAAAGAGGGTGATAGCAATATAACGAGGAGGAAACTCACAAAGGATGATGAAGAAGAGACTCAGGATGATGTATATGTAAAAGAAAAATGATGACGATGATGTGGAAGATGGACAGGATGTGTTTGGGCTGATGTTGCTGACACCAGCAGCGGTGTAATTAAGACAGTATGGACTGAAAATCAGCAGAGAGAATCCTCCAGTTAACAATCCTAACAGATGTAAATGTATTCATGAGCTCTTAATGTGAAGTGATAATGCGGCTGGGTCCGTCAGAGTGAGCAGCCGCCGCTCTGACAGGCTGAAGGACTGCACTGATTGGACTTTTTTTCTTTCTGTGTGTATGACTAAGGACTAGCAGGGAGCTGTTAAGTGCTCTTTGACTGGCCACCCACTGTTAACCCAGGGGACTGTTCATCACATCCCGCTAACCACAACCACATTCACAAGTGTTTAAGTATGAGGCCGAGGAGGGGGTTAAAGACAGGGCAGGAAAAAAAATGGAGCATGGTGCATATTTAAATCACACAATGAATTATTTGCCTTAAATGTATATTAAAGGTTTTTAAAAGTCTCAATTTAGTCAAGTTTAATGTATGAAACTCCTCCTGATACTACATGAAGTGGTGGATTAAAGGTGCGACCATAAAACCATTAACTAAAGTCAACCAAAAACACATTTAATTTCCATTTTTAAAGATTTTGCTTCAGACTTTTTCTCTCCAAAGATTACAACCCAACAGCCCCATTTGACCCCCTGTCCATTCACTAACAGTCAACACCCACATCCATTCTTATTTCCACCCCTATGGACTCACATACACACCTCTCAACCCACCCTGCATGAACCCACAAACCAATGTGAACTGTACTATGGCGTCACAGTCTTAGTAAAGCTGCTGCTTGGAAACAAACAGAACGGCCGACAGCATCAGCTCTGAGTTTATCTCAGCAGTTCAGCACTGTTTGTCAGCACCTGTAATCCCACAGGAGATGCGATGATGTGTCTGCTTTCCATACATTAATCTGGTTTTCATTTCCAAAGCCCTGCATGATGAGGCACCTGTGTATATCTCTGACCTGCTCCATGCTGCCATCACCAGTAGATCCCTCAGGTCTCACTCTTTCAATGGTCATACGCTAGTTTCTACTGACACTTTTAAACAGCAGCTTGAGAGCCTGTGCCAATTAACAGCTTTTTTTGGGGGGCGGCAGCGTTCACAAGCTCGGTTGCTAGGTTACGGAAGTTGGCTCATGGCACTGCTGCTTTCCTCAGTGGTGACCGTAAGATGTTTTAAAATGCTCTGTATGCTTTATATTTGCTTTATTTAAGGAAATGTCACCAAGAAAAAAATAAAAACAATGAAATTGAATCATGAAGCAGCAGTTCATCTAACCTGGAATTGTTCCCTTCTCCGACTTTGTTGATTACAAAGTTGATATCGGATGTCCTGCCCTTTTTGATTTTGATTGGTCGAGAAGGAAGAACTGACACTGATGAGCCAAAAGTGTTCTAAAAGTTATGACACAAACCGTAGTGATTGCAGCGACAAAAAACAGCTGCACCGAGGGTATCTTCAAATGAAGGATGGCGCCAGCGCAAAATAAAATACAAAAAAAGCCTCACTTTCCAATCTACAGTTTGTGAAGAAAGAGGTCACTTTCTTGGGCCATATCTTAACCCCACAAGGGAAGTCTTTGTCTCCAAGTAGAATTTCTGCCACCATTAACACACCAAAACCTATCACCAAGAAACAAGCAATGTCTTTCCTTGGAATGTGCTCTTACTGTCGACAGTTCATTCCAAACTTCTCAGTTCTTGAACGTCCATTACGAGACATCACGCATGCTAAAGGTTTGACTGTTTCAGGTACCCTTCAATGGACTGATAACATCCTTTGAAACATTGAAAAAAGCCCTACAGTCCACTCCCACACTGGGTGTTCCTAACCCTGCTAAACATTTCGTTCAATGTGTGGACAAGCGAGAAGGTTGTATGACGTCGGTCTTGCTACAGAAACATGGCGCTCACCTTAAACCTGTGGCTTACTTTTCTTACACCCTTGACCCAGTGGCTAGAGCTCTTCCTCTATGCCTGCGTGCTGTTGCCGCTGCTGAACGTGCTGTTCTGGCCTCACAGGACTTTGTGGGTCAAACCTAACCCTCCTTGTTCCTCACGCAGTATCAGCAATACTGGCAGAACAGAAAACTTCACACCTTTCTGCTGCACGGTGGTTGCGATATCACGCCACACTTCTTGATCTTTCCCATGTCACGGTCAAAAGATGCAACACTCTCAACCCAGCCACTTTGCTTCCTTTTCCCACTGATGGTGACCCACACTGTTGTGAAGCAGAGATGCAACTTATCTGCACACCTCGTCCTGATCTCTCTGATGTTCCTTTAACCAATCCTGATCTTGTTTTCTATGTTGATGGTTCAGCCTCACGTGACCCTGACACAGGTCACTGTAAAGCTGCTTTTGCTGTTGCTAATGATTTTAACACTGTTTTGTCTTCTCCTTTGCCGTCTCTTTACTCAGCACAGCAGCAGAGCTGGTGGCGTTAACAGAAGCCTGCAAATTGGCTGTACACAAATCTGTCACAATCTACACAGACAGCAGGTATGCTTTTGGGGTAGTTCATGATTTTGGTGCTTTGTGGAAAGAGGAAATTTCTCAAATCTGACGGAAAACCCATTCTACATCATGAAAAAGTATCTGCTCTTTTGGAAGCTGTTTTGCCTCCAAAACAAATTGCAGTTTGCAAATGTGCAGCTCACACTTCTTCTTCTGACCCTGTTTCAATTGGCAATGCAAGGGCAGATGCAGCTGCCAAGGCTGCTTCTAGTCTACAGCTACCA